GTGCTGACGAATGCAGTTTCCAGATACTCGTGGAGGGCCCAGGTCGGCTTGCACTCAGCGGCGACGTCAGTTGGGCGAGGCTCGGCGGTGGTGTCGGGAGCTGGCTTATACTCGTTGAGTTGTAAAGAAAAGCGAAGGGTCGGCATGTTGATCGTAGCGATAGTGACTATTGATAGGCGTGTGACAGTCGTTATGGATGAATGAGTGCTGATTGATGATGCGTGGTTGGAGAAAGGAGGTTGTTGTGGGACGAAGTCTGTCGAGAACAGTGGACAACGCGATCCTCCAGCAGTACCTTGTGTGCGGCTCTTTCCAGTCCCGTCGTGGCTTCATTTTGATATGGAAAGTCATTCGTTGAATGCGTAAGAAAGATCGTACTTGCCTCTTTGGGTACCTAGGAGGTTTGGCAGGATTCGGTCATGGAGGTTTCCCTGCGGCGCCCGTATGCCACTGCCTCCACTGCCATGACGCGCAAGCCCGAAACGGCTTGCAAGAAGGTGGCCAACGGCTGTGCATGCCTGAAAGTCAGATGTGAGAGAAGAAAAGGAAGGCCGGGAAGGATCTTGGCATGGTTCTTCTGTCGCGAGATGATTGCCGGTGTGACTCGGAAGCGAAGGAACGATAAAGGCAATGGAAGTGCAGGTACTTAGGTAGATAATGGAAGGGAAAGAAAGAGGCAACTGTTCTACCGCACATCAAAATTCAGAGACATCGTGCTTGCCAATCCAGGTTCAAGATGGCAGTCTCCAGAGAAAGTGCCGTCATCATTGAGCGTCGTCCACTCGACACATCACCTGCCGCGCGATTGAACTCCTACAACCACCACGCCTTGGCACCATGGCTCGAGGAAACAGGCTACCTGACGCCCTTGTTTCTTCACAAGAGAAAGAAGGAGATCGCTCCTTGCAACATGGGGCCGTGGCTGTCGCCGGCAATCCGGCGGCACATGCTGCATCCGCCAGTTGCTGTCCACCGATTGTCCCAGACGGAAGTCGTTGCACTACTCGAGGTTGCTTCAGAAGTACAACACGACGTCACGAAAGCAGAAAGCATTGACAGACTCCAGTCTCTTGCCTGCAGAATTAATGAAACCATGGGCGGCTTCGGCAAGAACCCCCCCCCCCCTCCCAAGGGTACTTCGTTCGTATGGGCCACTGCAGTCCCAAAGATGCCGATGCAGGGACGCTGCGACCCGTATTTACGATCAAAGACGCCCTCGTCAAGCTCGTGTCATCAAAGTGAACAGTCCGAGCCCTTCTGAATCTGTACTACGAGTATCAGCGCGCTGACGAGGTTCCCGATGGCCAGCTCTTCTTCTTCCCATACCATACCGACCTCGATCGCCTGAGCGAATGACGATGCTACATCAACAAACACAGGGTCGTCGCAATCAGTCAGAGCAGATTCTACCATTGCAACCATCCGGGAATCACGGACGATGCGCTAAGATGTCTCGCGATGCATGTTCGTCGATTGTGGGCCGAGATGGCTCCCCCAGACCCTCCGGCGCTCCGTGCAGCCATTGCACTGCAATCTTCACCCACCACAAGAGACTCAAGAGCCAGGCTAAACGCCGGCCATTCCCCGGAAACAACTTTTTCTTGATTGGCTTGTCTCTTCCGGCCAAACGACGATGGCATTACTCCGGCTATGATGGACCATTTCATTGGTTGAAGGCTAGTCCTCTGGGTCTTCCCCTCTCTGCCGGGATCCATCTTGGATCACCACGCACAAGTGTATCTCCACTTGTTCCATCACCAGACTCATCTCAAACACCATCTCGGGCTCTTTTGGTCCGGTCGTGTAAACTTCACACCGATGGACATTGAAATGTGGCGTTATGCTCTTCTCAATAGAGGGGTCAGATGAAGTGTAAAACAGACAACTCCCTGTTCTACTCCTCGACAGCCAAGTCTGGGTGCTTCACAGAAGTACATGTACGGGCGGCAGCATCGGATACTAAGCGACGATGGCGAACCTCAAAGTTGTCGATGTCCGCGTTGACCATTATCGATCGAACAACACGTTGGGAATACACGTCGAAAGACCTCGCATCTCATGGCGGTACAGTGACGCGCCCCAAAACTTCACCCCCAGCGAGCGGATCATCCGGATCTCGCGTCTCTCCGGCCCCACCGTCCTCGGCGAGTTTTCTGGAAATGACACAAACACCCAAGACGTCCCGTGGCCGGTGAGTGAGGCCATCGGGTCTCGCGAGAAGTACTCCGTAGAGGTGCGCGCTCGCAGTGCGGATCAAACGGAGCTGTCGCCGTGGAGTGAGCCCTACGTATTCGAGACCGGCCTGCTGAATCGAAGCGACTGGAGCAGCAAGCTTATCTCGGCACCATGGTCGGAAGACGGCAAGAACGCTCCGCAGCCCGAGGACTTGTTCAGAAGAGATTTCAAGTCTGAGGGCCGTGTGCAGTCTGCACGGCTCTATGTGACTGCCCAGGGCATCTACGAGGCCGAGATCAACGGGAAGAGGGTCGGAGACTACTTCCTTGCACCCGGCTGGACGAGCTATGATGGCCGACTGCAGTATCAGACTTACGATGTCGCCGAGCACATTTCCTCTTCTTCCAACTGCATTGGAATCCGCGTAGCCGAGGGCTGGTTCAACGGCCGCATCGGCTTCGAAGGAGGCCGTCGCAGCATTTGGGGCACAAGAACTGCCGTTCTCGCCCAGCTCGAGATCACCTACGAGGACGGGAGATCAGAGACCATCATCACAGACGATACTTGGAAGGTCACCCGTGGACCGACAAAGCTTGCCGAGATCTATGACGGAGAGAAGTACGACGCCACTGCAGAAGTTGTCGGCTGGTCTACCACATCGACGAGCGGCGACTGGTCACCGGTAGGGGTTCTGCCTGAATTGCCCAGTAACGTGGACCTCATTGCGGGATTTGGAGAGCCAGTTCGGCGCATGGAATCCTGGATACCCAAAGAACTTATCACGACACCATCAGGCAAAATCATCCTTGATTTTGGACAGAACCTTGTTGGATATGTCCGATTCAAGAACGTCGAGGCCGAGCGCGGCCACCAGCTCACCTTCCGTCACGCAGAAGTCCTCGAAAACAGAGAGCTCGGCACTAGGCCTCTGCGTGATTGTCAAGCAACGGATGTTTACACCTTCAAGGGCGATCCGGAGGGCGAAAGCTGGGAACCGCGCTTCAGCTTCCACGGCTTCCGCTACCTTCAGATTGACGGCTGGCCGGGGTATCTCAATCCCTGCAGAGGAGCACTTAAAGTTGTCGTCTGTCATACGGACATGCAAGAAGCAGGCACTTTTTCCTGCTCAGATAGGCGGCTGAACCAGCTCTTCAGCAATGTTCGCTGGTCCATGAGGGGCAATTTTCTGTCTGTGCCCACCGACTGCCCTCAAAGAGATGAGCGGCTGGGATGGACGGGAGACCTCGCGCTCTTTGCACCCACTGCTACCTACGTCTACGACTGCTTCGGCATCCTGAAGAACTGGCTGGCGGATGTCGCCTTTGATCAAAAGGAGCTGGAGGGGATCCCACCTATGGTATCTCCGAATGTCCTCAAGGGCCATCAGAACTGGGGCAAGATTGGAGCCAACGCCATCTGGCATGATGTTGTCGTCCTCGCGCCATGGGCCCTTTATGAAGAGACGGGTAATACAAGCATTCTTCGGGACCAGTATGAATCCATGACAACGTGGATTCAAAAGATTCCAAGGAACAAAAGTGGACCAGTTCATCTTTGGGATTTTGGATTGTTCCAACTTGGAGTAAGTCGCAGGTGTCAATACTGCCATTGACATAGAAAAGACTAACATCCCTAGGACTGGCTGGACCCGAACGCACCCCCGGATGAGCCGATGAAGGCAGTCACAGATCCTCCTCTCGTCGCGAATGCATTCCTCATCCGTTCACTAGACTTACTCACCCAAGTCGCAACCATTCTTGAAAAGAACGAAGACGCAGAGCACTACCGCAGAGAATCTGCCGCAGCCCGACAAGAATTCCTCGATGAGTACGTCAGCGCCAACGGGCGCCTGACCTCCGACTCTCAAACAGCTTACGCCCTCGCAATCGCCTTCGACCTTCTCTCTCCAAAGCAGACGCAGCGCGCAGGGGACCGTCTTTCGGAGATTGTCCGCCGCAACAGCTTCAGAATCGGCACAGGCTTCGCTGGCACGCCGTATATCTGCGAAGCACTCACGCGCACGGGACACAGCGACGTGGCGTACGCGATGCTGCTGAACGAAACGTGTCCTTCATGGCTGTATCCCGTCAAGATGGAGGCTACGACGGTCTGGGAGCGCTGGGACAGCATGCTGCCCGACGGCTCGATCAACCCCGGCGACATGACGTCGTTCAACCACTACGCGTTTGGTGCTGTGGCCAAGTTCATGGTTGAGCGGCTGGCTGGTTTGAAACGACTGGATCCTGGTTGGAAGAGGTCAAGGGCTGAGCCAGTGCTCGGCGGCGAGTTCACGCATGCGGCGGCTGAGCATCTCACTCCGTATGGCAAAGTTTCCTGCAAATGGGAGTTGACTGGCAGCGACACTACTCCTTCGGAGCTGAAGGTTCAAGTTGTTGTTCCCCCATTGACAGAGATGGAAGTGGTGTTGCCTGGCAAGGATGGACAGAAAGTCGAGGTTGTCGGGTCAGGTGAGTGGTCTTTCGTGGTGGAGTATGAGCGAAAGCATCAGTGGCCGGTGAAGGCGCTTTCCATCTTCCCTGAGTAGATATACAAGAATCACATAGGTAATCAAGAGTCTTGATATTCGCGCTAGCGTTTCCAACAGCCTGGCTGATGGATGTTGAGTGTGTTGCCAAGACTTGTGCCAACGGCCGCCAAGCAACCCGGTCGGCTGGGCTGCAGGAAGCAAGGGGCTTTTGTCACCTTGGCTGAACGACATCCCAAGAGACGACCACGAAATACACCAATTCAATTCCATCATGTTCACAAATACATTGTCCAATTCATGGCCCCATGCTTCAGCTAGCCTATGCGTACATGACCTCTTAGTAGGTACCCGCAGACTTTATGATGATGTTGGCCTTGGCAATCTCGGCGTACTCCTCGTCCCTCTTCTCCTCGTCACGCTTGTAGGTACCAGCCGACTTGATCACAATCGAGTCCTTGGCAAGGTCGGCGTACTAGAAATTCTGGAGTCAGGACCAGTCCTTCTCTTCAAAGTCGCAGAGAACAACTTACCTCCTCGCCGCGCTTGTAAGTTCCAGCAGACTTGATAACAATAGAGTCCTTCGCCAAGTCTGCGTACTCTTCGCCACGCTTGTATGTACCAGCGGACTTGATGACGATGCTGTCCTTCGCCAGCTGCTCGTAGTCCGCCTCGCGCTTCTCCTCGCCCCTCTTGTATGTGCCGGCCGACTTGATGACGATCGAATCCTTGGCCAAGTCGGCGTACGCTTCGCCGCGCTTGTAGGTGCCGGCCGACTTGATCACGATGGAGTCCTTGGCGAGGTCGGCGTAGTCGGCGGCGACGGGGGCGGCGATGGCGCCGAGGGCCTGGAGGGCCACGACGGTGAGGACGGAGAAGTGCATTTTGGGCGAGTTGGTGGAGGGCAATTTGGAAGAAGCGGGATATTTGCTTCGGGCAAGGAGGTTACAGGCGGGTCTTTATGTGAGGAGTAAGGCCTGAGACCGCTCGCATCGTCGACTGGGCTAGTACGTTACAGCGCCTCAGTTGGTCTTATCGCATCCTTCTGAGATGACAAGCCGGATGGGGTATCATCTTGTTCCAACCCGTTTCTTGCCACATGTGTCGAGTCGTAAGTCCTAGACAGGAAGGTATGTAAGCTAGCTCGTGACGTTTTGACGATCCAGACTATTGGATAGTTCCTCCGGCTTTTGCGATGTAACACTAACCTTGACACCCATGTGTTATCCTTCGCATGATTGGTTAAACAAAGCTTGAGATTGGGTTTCCATCTGTCTCACACTTACGACAGACCATCTCCGGTCATGTTCTAGGAACCCAATCCCTCGGTGGCGGGGCTGCGCTTGCATCCTTTTCGGACTTTCACGACCAGACATAAAACGCTCTCGATGGGGACATTCGAATCCTGCCGCCCTGAATGGTCAATATCAGCCGCGAAGCTTTTCGGGAAGAGATCCACGACGGGCTGCTGGGGATTTTTGAAGCGGCACCCATGCAAGTTCTAGGCCGAATCAAGAAGCTCGATGGCCGAAGGAATAGGCTACAGCATTTTGTATAAGCATAGTGCACAGGCCCACCAAGTCATCATGCGGGCGTCTTACTTGCCGGATGTTTCTTCCGATAGAAGGCTGGTGGTCCGAGAAAGAAGCACGCTGTGAAGAATTCAACGTGTCGCTTCTCCCAGTTTGCCTTTACCATGCTGAAGTTTCGAGGTTCTTGGGACATTTCTGACCTTTTACCTTGGATCAACCGCAAAGCAGCCATAATCCTGCGTATCGCCATGTGGTGGAAATTTGGTTCGAGATATGAAAGCCTCCACCAAGCAGAGGGCAAGGAGGCTGGTGCACCTTCTAGGCGCTCAAGATGGTTCAATCACCGATGGCCACAATCGAATATCCTCCTCATCACCACCAACTCGGTGACGCTCATTGCACTTATCTATACTATCTGGGCAGGAGAGCCGAACACTTCGACAAAGGGATGCACACAGATACTTTCCACGCCATGTAAGTTTCATCAATAAACAAAAATCACAGATTACTTTCTCTGACGATTGCTGCAGCACCGGCTCTTGAGGCGATCAAGTACAAGACGCCAGAGCACTACAATGCAGAGTTCAGGCAAACGAACAAGTGGCGAGGTCCGCCTGGGAATCATTCCAACGCTGTCGACGTCGCGTGGCATGAGATCGAATTGGGCGCGGGTGGGATCTGGGTCTCTGAGGAGGAAGTAAATCTGTTGAACATGACAGACTCGGCAGAGCTTCCCTTCCACAAAGTTCCCGAAGAACAAGGCGGGGGTTACCTGGCCATGCTCGAGGTCTTCCATCTGCTGCACTGCTTGGTCAGTTCATCACCCGTTGCTTGTGCTAAATGACCTGTGCCTAACACGACTCTCAGAATTCACTGCGAATGGGCTTGTTCTATAATTACGAGCATTATAAGTTCCTTGACGAAGGTGTTCCCGACGAGAATATCTATACTCACCATGGTAAGTTTCATATTGCATCATCAAAGCTTGACGAAAATAAGCTCCAAATTGACTTTTGCTTCGTCAACTCAGACCACTGCATCGATATGCTCCGGATGAACCTTATGTGCTACGCGGACGTCACCCCGGCCCTATTTGTCGACCCGCTCAGCAATCCCCTGCGCAGAGACGCGCTGCCCAACTGGTCATCTATGCACACTTGCAGAGACTTTGACGCGATATTGGATTGGAACAAGCACGGTCCTAGATCGGTACGTTGGCGTGATGCCGGTGCCAATCCGGCGTGGGATCCGAATCTTGAGGGTGCAGAGCAACCGTTCCCGCCTGAGGGACATGCGGAAGAAGGTCACCATCACGGGTAGCAGATCTTGTGTATAATTTGCATGGTGGTAGTTTTAGATTCTGATCAAATGCTACGAATGACAAAACTGAGCATGTATGAAGAATGAAATTGGTATCCTGAACTTCGTTGTTGGTTCTTATCCGGCGTCCCCAGGCGTCGCCCTTCTGCGTCTAACTCCTCTCTGTATCTTTACACTGTGCTGCAGCCTCTGGAAGGAATATGTCTACCTAATGATGGCTGTGAGTTGTTGTACAGAAACAACGAGCTTGAATGTTAGCTTCCCTGAGAATCCACTATCCCAAATATCATGGCAACTGCCTCTCTATTCGCAGGCCTTGGTGTCGCAGCAAGTGATGCTGTAGCCGCCAGAGGGGGCGTAGCCGCAGAAGACCTTGTCAGAGTTGCACTTGCCGCCGTAGAAACCCTGAGTTCCGGGGCTCTCGGTCGTGCAACCGGCCTGGACACCAGCGCTGGCGAACAGGAGGGCGGTAACCACAGTAAGGATCTGCTTGGAGAGGTGCATCTTGGCGGCGATGATTGAGGTCGGAGTCTCGGAGAGAATGGGTAGGTGGGCTTTGTAAGCTGTAGGAAACTGATCTGATGGGTGATGTTTGAGGTGTCTTGTCTCGAAAGGCGGGATCATAACTGCTGCTTTATAGCTGTTTCTTCTCATGGTATTCTTCATACAAACATTGTACTCGGACCACAGCTCCCGGGTTGATAGTATGATCCACGTTGAGACAATAGAGTTCTGACATGCAGAGAGACTATGGTTTGAGATCGGAGGAGCACATGGCCATTGCGACCCAGATCAGATTGAGGCAGCTCGTCTACCAAGGCCAACCCCCTTTTGATATATTAAGTGCCCCCCATGGCTCATGATTCATGAGTCTACGTCCTCGTCCTTGGCTTTTATAGACTATCATGATCTCCTGTTACCGCCGCTAGGCTTTGATGATGCGAATGGACCTTAGTTCATATGGTTCCTAGAGAAACAAGTGACGTTCAGGTCGAACTTCTGTTCCAAAGATGATGGCTTAGGTTGACAAGAGGTTGCTTTCACTGGCAATGGTTCAAGGGAAGACAAGTATCCGCAGTCGGATTGCTCAGATCAGACCATGTGGAGACTGGAAGTCCGATTTCCCCACAACCCGTGCCGTGGCTAGGATGGAATTCAGAAACACGGCCTGAACTCTAACATATTATCTTACTGGTGACGGTGAACGTGGGACAAGAGGCGCCAAGTGGAAAGCGCATGGCAAAAGAACCACAAAGGGCCGGGACTTACATTCTTCCTTGTCTCAGTGGGGAGCAGATATGTTAACAGAACACTATCAGTGGGACTCGACACAAACGCATATCGAATCGCGAATGGAGAAAGGTTTCTGGTCAGAAATCCTCTCGAAATACTCAACCTTACACTCTCTCCGATTCCCACGGGCATCTAAATTATTTGACATCTGAAGCGCATGCTTCTGACAAACTAGCAACGAAGGAATAACGATGGCTCCAGTATAGATAGTGAGTTGGCTGACGCGGTCTAGCTTGCCTCAACATACAACCTTGAAGATTCAAAGATATGGACCTCAAAGCCCGAGTGTGTCCTCCTACTTAGGCCGAATCACTAACGCTCTTTGGCTACAGCCTCGTAGTGTTGAGATGGTGACCGACTCGGCCATGGTGACTGTAGTTGTCGGAGACAGATATGAAGGAGTGTTTCACTTTCTGGCGGGACAAAGCGCGCCAGTATCCCACCGGAACTTGGCTTGCGGATATGAGCTTTTAAAGTGAGGATAGTCTACCGTTGCATCCCACCGGCACGTGGATACGGGCTGTGGGCTTAACGGCTTTGGCAAGGCACATGTCCACCGAGTGGCAATGTTTCCATGACTCGCAAGGGGGAGCGGAAGGAAAAGAACACAATGGAGCCAAGAAGACTCGTTTGTGCTGTGAAATTGAGCTCGGGTTTCAGACTGTAAAATGAGCCCATGGCTATCATTAAAACCGAAGTCGCCAACATTGGAGCATGTGCCGGCTACACAATCAGCCGCGACTCTACCATGAAGATATACTTTTCCATGGCATTGAATGTAAACTAATGAGATAGCGGTGTCCCTCATGTCGATTGATCAGCCTACACCATGACGGACGGAGATATTATGGAATTGGATGTCGTACTGCAATCAAAATCAGTTTTGCCAGTCGGGCAGTGCTATTTAGCCATCCGGGCAGTGTCCACACACACGTATATGATCTGTAGCCTATCTCTAAAGCGACTATATTTCCTATTCTCGCTTTCATCGTCATTATTATATATTATTATCATTGTCGTCGTCATCGTTATTATCGTTATCCTTATTACTACTCCTATCGCTCTCTCTATAATCACGAATCATAGGGAACACTGCCCGGATAGCTAACTAACACTGCCCGACTAGCCAAACTCATCACAATAGTCTCAGTCTTTGGATGAGACACTGGCCACGGCCTTGTTCTCTGTATTGCTCGTAAGAGTTGCGTAGAGTAGGCCCGATGTCCCGCTTTGAGCGGCCGGACATCCACGACGGGTTTTAAAGCATTTACTAATAACTTTGAAAAGCGCAGGCAACTTCTGAATTCCATGATTCAACATAACATTCAACATACAAGCTCCAATACCATGTGACAGTATGTTGTTTGTATGGACAGTAGCATATGGACATGGAGGATGGTAAGGGGTGATGATTTGCGGATCGTATAGGCAACTTTTGTGACTGAGTAGTTAGACGAACGAGCCAATTCATACACATCTGCGGTTCTCTAACACACTTCTTTAACAGATGTAGCAAGCTAGAGTAAGGATGGGCTATGGGAAGAGTACTTTAGGGGTATGTAGGAAGAACAAGTTGTATCTCTACAAGGAGATTGAAGACTGGATGGGCGATGAGACTGAGAAAATTGGTGTGGCAGTTGCCGGTGTATTTGCCGTCGTTGAAAACGAGATCTCCCAAAGAATCAACGCCGCGGAGACTTATGGAACTCGAGCACTGATGGGGTGGCAGGACACATGTCTGCCGCTCTCAGTAGCTTTTGGCAGGCGTATTACTTGGTGCAGCATTGGTACTATCGAAAGGAGGTGAGATATGCCTCATTGCAAGTAGACGAGATGGGGACATACCGTGATCCGGCAGGTTGTATTGTTGTCGCCAGGCTTGGTGACGAGTTGTGTATAGGATTGAACGTTCACAGTCTGACCATTTCCGCATGAGGGCGTAGCATAGCTCGTTGGGATATTGCAAGTGAGAACCGCGACTCGGTTGTCTTCGGTAAAGGTGCGGCAGTCGCGTGCGACAAGGTCGCGATGATGAGGAGCAGCAGCCACAGCCACAGCCATTAGGATAGTAACAAAAGCGGATGCGACAACCATTTTGACGAGTAAGGCTTCGAGTATGGAACGATTGGAAAGATACAAGATTCAAAGTGAGGGTGTAAAGAGAGTGTGCAGCCTTTTATAGTTGCTGATCGACAAAGACGGATAGAGATTCGAAAAGAGGCGAAATATATAGCAAATGTCCATCATGACTGACAAACTCTCCCACCGGGTTCTGAGTGGCCAAGACCAGACTGGACCCACAGAAGTTCCAGACTTTCCAGATTTTTTCCCAAAGTGTAGAGTGCTAGGTATTACACCCGGACATTGTGTTGTTTTAATACTGAGTCGATGACTAACTTGGTCATTGAGTACAAGTTGCTTGCCAAATTGAGCTTTCGAGCACCCTGTGGGATCCCCTAAACGATTTTCTACAACTAAAGCACATGTGACAAGAGGGAAGTCGGTTTCCGGTCATGGAAAAGACTTGGATCTCGGGCCCAAGGGTGCTTCCGGGTGTCCGCGTCACGTCGCTTCTCAGGATTATTCACCATGGCTGGGAACCACGAGTCGTAAGAGTAGGTCTGTTGGGTGGCTTATAAATAGGCCCGGGCCGGAGACTTACCGGATGACGCCGACCCGCCTCGCGACGCCGTAGTCCTGTAAAGCCGAAGGAAAGAAAAGCATTCTCAAATTCCAAGCTTCTGTGCAATCTCTGTTCCAGCAAGACGACCGAATGTCATGCTCCGAAGGCAGCTGGTGGCTGGTGGGTATTCATTGTAGAACAACCCAGTCATCTCTCCACTTGCATAGAGACCCGGGATCGGTACGTCATTGTGAGAAAGAACGCGCGAGTGAAGATCAGTCTTCACACCGCCGTAACTTTGTGATGGTGAGCTATGATTCGATTTTACTTGGGACTTGTTGGCTTACGTGAAGGTGAGATTGGGCGTGCAAGGGAAGCCGTAGAATGGGGCCTTTGCGATCGGATTCGCCCAGTTGGTCTTGTTTGGTTTGAGGCCAGTCGTCGCCTTGCCGTCGAGCTTCATTAGATCGAAACCCTTGTCATTGATAGCCGCATTGAAGTCATCGACTGTCTTCTTGAGTTTCTTCGGGTCGAGGGTTAGCGTCTCTGCCAAACCTCCGATCGTGTCTGACTTCTCCGGTGGCTTGTCTGTGGTTTCGTACACCCAGCTGCCTTTGAAGCGTTGCATAATTACCTCGTCGGTAATGAAGTAGCAAGACATGTTTTGATCTTTCCAAGTGTGAAGGGCCGCCATTTCAAATGTGGCAAAGAGATGTCGTTCACCTTCGTCGTAGAACCGCTCGCAGTCGTTGTTGACAAGAATGCCGTAGTTGTGACCCCAGATCACAGCATCCGGCTTGTCGGCCCGAGTATCGACAAGCTCGCAATGCATCCCATCGAAAGATCCGGCAGTATCAGCGCCAACCTCAAGACACATTCGTAAGCCCGCTCCCTTGTTATACTTCAAGCCTGGGGCAATCAGCGGCAGCTTGTGCGAATCACGCCCAATATATCGGGCCAACATCTCTTGGTTCGCCTCAAAGCCGCCACACGCAAGCATGACCGTGGGAGCTACAAGGTCGTGAAGCAAGCCGTCTGTCTTTTGAACTTTCAAGCCTCGAACGCATCCCGCATCAGTCGTCAGAAGGCGAACAGCCTCAGTCTGATAGAGAATATCGACCTGGTCGAATGCTTGGATGTGGCTTAACAAGTTTTGAATGATGGCGTTGCCACCGCCCTCCGGAAACACAAAGTGTTGGTCTGTGTTGAACTCCAGGAGAACGTTTGGTTCGTTATGATGTACGAACTTGACACCATGGTCTTCAAGATAGCGTGCTGAAAGGGGAGCCTCCTGTCTGAGCTTTTCACAGTAGTCTTCGTCTGCTGCCCCATTGCTAACACGTCTCATCTCCTTGACCCAATGGTCATCTTACAAGATCAATCAGCACTTAATCATTCATAGCGATTGAACAAGTCGACCTACCGAAATCCAAGTTCTTGTCCAGTCGAAGGTATGCCATGGTCCACTTTGAAGCACCCGAACGTTCACCCTCCTTTCCAGCTTCGACGAGAGCTACACGACCGCTCTTGTTCAGACGCTTGCATTCCTCCAGGAAATTGAGGGTCGTCATGCACCCAGCAAAGCCGGAGCCGACAACGACGACATCGTATGTTTCAGACGATGCCATATTGAGATTGAAACGTTGAAAATAATTTCAGAGGTTGACGAGAACACAGACAGCAGCAAAAAGCCTTTTCTGATTAATCCATCAGGCTCGAACAGACATGCCATCTCCGTAATGTATTATGGAGAAGCTTCGGATTACGTGGAGGATCACCCGATGTGGTGCCGGATCGAGAATGCCTGTGTAGCATGAGCTTGCGGGCACAAATCAAACTGCCGACTCAACTGCATGCGTTCCGTCATCGCATGTAGTGTAGCGTTGGCACTTTTATCGTGGTTTTCACCCAGGCTGTCTATCCTGTGACAGCCAAGAACACCGCTCTTAGTGTCGTTGGCCAAGAATCAGCTTCTATTAACAGGGATAGACGAGGGTGTCCAGCATTAACAAAAATAGAAACTAGTCAGGAATGGTCATTCGAATCCACCATATAGGCGTTATGGTCGCCAAGCTAATAGCTTGTTGCCTTATAGTGTCGTAGTTAGACTGAGCAGTTGGACACCGCAGACGATCTGGCCTAGCAAATAGAAAGGTGGATGGATAAATAAAAATGGAGGGAGGCAGACAGTTATAACAAAATGATGCCATGTGATGCCTCGTAGAGTCTGGTCTTAGCCTCTAGAGACCTGCATCCGTTAGCAGTTTTAATTGATGCGCACACACAGTTCGTGCTTATATCTTTCTGTAGCAGACCTTGGTCCAGCTGCTCGCGCGAACTTAGAGCGGCGAGCGATGTGGCCGCACCTGAGCGACATTTGGCGTCGGGAACAGGGATCACGAGAATTCATGCTTATTTCGGCCGAATTGCCCACGGCACAGGCCGAATGACAGACGTGGGCTCCCCCGCACTCTACCCCTCCTGGCTTCCCGTGGCCCGAGATCGTTCAAACCAATCTGGCAAGATCTGCGACAACAAGATCTTGTTTCCGCCCGAATGTTATCGCGGGAGAAATCAAGCCCTGACCCGTTCAGTGATGTCTTCATTTACGGTGTCAAATCCATTGGTGGAATGGCGTGGGGACATCACGGCATTGGCGCTTGGGTTGCCGTGATCGCTTCGTTCGGCGTAGTCTCCGCCGAGATGCGACTTTAACTTTGTTCGAAGGGGTTGACGCTCATTTCCCATGGATACATATGAGGCCAATTGCCCAGTGTGTTTACATCGTGAGATTAGAAATCTTTGTTGATCATCGTGGTTTCTTCTACTCCCGTTCATCCCATCTCTTAAGCTTATTTCCCCGCGTTCAAGTTGACGAAGTCTCCACTGTCGACAAAATGAGATTCCAAGGCATCGCAGCCACCCTGGTCACGGCTCTGACTTCTGTCTCCGCTGCTCCATTCGGCGAAAACACCGAGGTTCAAGCCCGCCAAGACACTAAGCCACCCTACTTCTTGCTGACCGGCGACTCAACCGTGGCCGTTGGCGGTGGTTGGGGAGACGGTTTCCTTCGCTACGTTCAATCGCCGGCTGATGGGAAGAACTACGGCAAGAGTGGTGCTACGACCGTTTCTTTCAGAGCCCAAGGCATTTGGGACACCGTGATTGGCGAAGTCCAGGCAAACAAAGATGCATTCAGCCCGATCGTGACCATTCAGTTCGGTCACAATGACCAGAAGGAGGCGGCCGGCATTTCGCCGGACCAGTTCCAAGCCAACCTCGAGACACTTGCGAACGAAGTCAAAGCTGCTGGAGGAACTCCGGTAAGTTTGCAGAACGATCATGGAGAATTGGCACTGACTTCATTTCAAGATCTTGATCACCTCCCTCACTCGCCGAGTCTTCAGCGGCGGCAAGGTCATTCAGAACCTCGAGACAGAGAGACAGAGAGCCATCGCGGCTGCTGAAGCCGTCGGTGCCATCTGTCTTGACCTCAACACCGCCAGCACCAACTACGTCAATGCTATCGGTAACGAGAACGGCCACAAGTACGACCTTGCTTCTGGCGATTCAACCCACCTGAATGTCGCCGGTGAGACGGTCTTCGGCCGCTTGGTTGCCGATCTCCTTCTCGAGAAGCGAACCGACCTTGCCCAGTACATTGCTGAGAACAAGGCTCTGAGTGACAAGATTGCGAATGGAGAGTTCGCGACTGGTGACGAGTAAACTTGGCGCGTACATGCATGAGATTGGCGAGCATTGTAAATGACAAGCTTTGATGGCACAGAGCATTGTGTTGTCTTTCTCTTCAGGATCAATATTCTTAGTCGTGTATGTAAGTATTTATAGAAAATGCACATAAGATCGTCTAAAATTTTCAGACTCCCACCTGTAACAACACCAGAACCGCAGTCTAATGATGGGAATAATGACCTAATGACGGCCTCATAGAGGGATAGGCAACTGATGGCCTTTGCGCCAAGTCTCGCCAAGTCTGATAGTAAGGTACACGAGTCCAGCGCAAACAAATTGAATGCCGCCTGATAGTGTAGACGACCATCCAACACCAATAGTCTCAATCAGCGGCAGACAAACCGCGGTCGACAGTCCAGCAATTAGATACCTCATAAGATAATGTCCAGCTTTTAATGTCAGTTAGGGCCCTTCACAGAGACGCAAAGGAGGACACTCACCCGAAGATCCGCCGCTCTGAGATTGTTGGATTACGTCGAAGATGTATGAGTTCAGGCTTGGGAAAGCTCCCATCTGAGCGACCCCCTGAAAGAACATGCAGACCACTGGCAATGGGATTCCACCGATGCGCTTGTCCAGTGTCCACCCGTACATAACCATAGATCCAGGGAGCATGAAGGCCAGAAAGATCAGACAGCTGCGCAGCCTGTCTTCCGGGAGACGGAAGCCTCTCTTCTGAATCCACTTATTGACAGTCCAGTCGGCCCATCGACCGCCTATCTGCGAGCCGACAAGATAACCGGCACCTGGTATAAGGTACAAAAGCCCTGACTGAAGCGGTGTTGTCAAGTGGAAACGCGGGTTGAGGACGTATCGAATTGGTGTAAGCAAGGCATACATGTTCCAAACCAGCGAGGAAGAAGCGAGGAACTAGGGTGGTTTAGTGCCTGGTTTGTAGTATGGAGGTCAGCCCTACTCACAACTAGAAGCAGATTCTTGTTTCCGTAAACCTTGACCACCTTGGTAGGGTTGCCCCAATTCCAAAGCTTGGAGATCTTCTCCCCGAAACCAAGGCCTTGCAGCTCCGACACCCTGAGTTGATGATGGGTTTCCGGGAGTGCAAAGTAGATGAATGGCAAGGCCAGCAGTGCGAACGAAGCCTGAATCCAGAAAATGACGCGCCACGTCGTATAAGTTACAACGATGCCACCGAGAACTGGGCCGAAGGCGGGACCGAATGCTACCCCAGAAAGAAACCATCCGAGAGATGTAGCGCGTTCAGTCTGTTGGGACATTCGCATTAGAAACCAACTTTAGAGAGAGGCATTCGTATGCATGTACTTACTGGGTGGTAGATGTCGGAAATGCATGTGCTTCCAAGAATCAAGAAAGCCGTTCCTTGGAAGGCGGTCAACGCTCGAAAGAGGAAGAAAACCTCCAGTTGAGGCGCCAACGCCGTACCGATGGTGAACACTAAGAACAATGCGACACTGCTCAAGTAGGCCTGCAAGTACAATTTCTCAGCGACGGAGTTTTGCACCTTTTGTGGTTGTCTGACATACTGGTCTGCGACCAAAAATATCTGCGTACGGGCCCCAGATGAACGCCGACAGGCCCATAAACGTTAGGTACACGGCGTTGCTGATATTGATGACCGTAGCTGATGCCTCAAACGTTGAAACAATCTCAGGAACGGCAGCCAAGACGCTTGTTGTGGACATCTGTGCCAAAAAGCCGCATACAGCTGCAATCCCGGTGACGATGCGCTTTTGCAGCGGCTTCAATCGGGAGTAGACGGAAACTTGGACGCGGGACTGGTCCGGGTCTTCGCCGGACCCGAGGACGGGGTCGGGGCTCGCAGGCCGGACCTGAGACTCCGTGGACGACATGTTGCGGTCGGTGGACATGGCGCAGGGACTCGAAAATGGCGTGATTGTCTGCAGAAACTTTTGCAACAAATACATTTGCGGACGACAATAAGTACGCATTAACCTGAACAAACTACTTGCCGATGTCGGTCGGCAAAACACGTCAAACAGGACGGCAATTTAAGAAGTGCCCGACAGCAAGTGCAGTGCAAGGTTCAGGGGCGGGGATCAGCGCTGTGTTCCTGAGCAAGTCGCATTTTTAGCTGACGAACCCCAGATACAGTGGCCCATGCAGCGATCTAGTGACTCAACTTCTGTCTCAATTGAGTCAACTTGATGGACTTTCGGTCCGCACCCCGGCCAAATTGGTTCTTGCCGAGCAAAGCAAGCAGTAACTCTTTTAATATTTTCCTTTCAACTATTGATAGTAAGAAGCAGACATCCTCTGTTCCAGCCGTGCGTCTTGCAACACGATCTTGCTGAGTGAGAAATATCATCATGTTCGGCGTTCCGTCTCTTAAAATAACATCTCGACGAGAAAATAAAGTTACAATTACTTCGGTAATGGCGTCTTTGCAACGTTTGTGTATGTGTACATGTATTGACAAAGGAAAATGGGGTATAACCAGCTTTAGGCATGATGTCCTGACCGAAATTTGTTCCAACGCTCTACCACCTCATCTCTTTTCTCGGGTGTTGACCTTCTAAACTCATTAATACCTTGCCGTAATCTAATTAGTAGTATCTCCGCCTTAAGCTTCGTAAGGCGATGTTTTGACAGCTCTTTCTCTATGCCCTTGAGAGTGTATCCGGGCAACCCAAATATAGCTGAAGGTCTTGTTAGTAAGTCTTCTCGATGAAAGAAGAGAAGTTTTGAACTTACCAGCAAAAATGTTACAAGTGAACCCTCGATTACCCTGCCACAGACCTTTGCCAAAGCCCTTGATGCCTCCCTCTTTGGCACCCTTGTATGGTCTAACGACAATCCCCCGGAACGCGTCCCACGTCCCCAGCGCAGCCTCCTTTCCGGCAGTTCGCAGACCGCTACCCAAGCCGGTGATCTCGTCTCGCCTCCGCACGTCGTGGCTGAACGCACCGTACGACGGATAGTTGTGGAAACCGTTTGCGACGTTGTAGAATACCGCGCCAGGAGCTTTGAGCCCGGCCTTGGCGACCTCGAGACCGTAACGGCCTGTTGCGCGGGCGACCTCCTTCACTCTACCGCGTTGGCGTTTCTGGTACTTGACGACCGACGACTTCCGCCTGCCTTCTGGCGTCTTTTCCAGCATCGCTATCTCGGCGTGGGGATCGGCGTTTTGGAGAGATTTGCTCGCCATCTTGAGGGCGATTGTGTTCATCTGGGAGGGCGATAATGTGTTCTCGCGGACGACACACTTGAGGTTACCGTCCTGTGTTTGGGTGACGGTATTATCGGTCTGTTGATCGCTCGTGGTGTCGGTACCTTCGCCAACGGACTTCTCTCGTTCCTGCTGCGCTTGCCCTTGCAGATCTGGTGTAGGCTCTATGTCTTGAGTGGCTTCCCTTTCAGGGTGAGCGTGTAGACGTTGAGAGTAGTCGGATGTCGCGATTCCAATGGCAGTGAAGAAGCCAGAGACTGCGGCTACCAGACCGATGAGGGGATGTTCCGCACCCTCGTCAACATACCAATGCTTGTGCCTGAGAAGTTTGACGTCGTGCGGTTTCATCATGCCCTTATCGACAAGACACCCGACTGCGAAACTGCTCAGGTGCGCACCAGACTTCTTATGCCTCCAAGTCGCAAGTCTCTCAGGGCAGACGTCGCACCGCATTCCGTCCAGCACCAATCGCTCCTGGATGTCCTTCGCCGTATCGCCAGCGCCGTCTTCCGCTCCAATTCGCTCCGCCATCTGCTGCACCGCAACCTGCACCTCTGGCTTCAGAGCAAATGAGATGCTGGCCGCCAGTGTTTCGGCTGTCATCTCCTTGAAGGGCACCGGCATGGGTCCTGCTCCAGCTCTCGCGATCATCTGGCCCCAGAAGGGCTGGTCTCCGAAAAAGGGGACGACCACTGTGGGACGACCTGCTGCGATGCCTGCTGCAGATGTTCCGGCACCTCCGTGATGCACAACAGCCGAGACGCGCTTGAAGAGCCAGTCATGGGGGCAGTTGCCGATTAGATAGATGTTGTCCGGGACGTTGTCGCCGCCGCCGACACCACCCCATCCTTTTGACACGATAGCACGTACTCCTGCGATCTTGACGGCGTCGAAGATGAGTTGGGTGAGCGCCTTTGGGTCATCAACGACAATAGAGCCGAAGCCGATGTAAATAGGTGGCGGCCCAGCCTCGAGGAATTTCGTGAGGTCCGGTGGAGGTGTGTACTTGTCGGCCAGAGATAAGAATGAGAAGCCCGTGATGTTGATGTGGTCGTCCCAGTCGGCAGGCTTGGGGATGAGCGATTCGGACCAGAGGAACGTAAAGGGAACGCGGAGTCTGGGCAGGAGTTGACAACCCCATAGAGGTGAGATAGGGTCGAGGCTAAGCGTTTGAGTGCGGAACTTGTTGATCAGGTCTCCCAATCTATAAACGTGTCAACAGTCTGGTTGTCAAAGGCAGTCTTGGGGTGACAAACCCTTGCCATGTGAGAAGCTCCATCATGATGAAGGACAGATAGTTGGCAACGCTGGTGTCCGCCTCGCCGTAACTCATCGACGCAAGAGGGTGGTGGAACGCTTGCGTCGGGCACCAGGGCATAGTGAAAACCATGTGTAATGGGATGCCTAGCTTCTCAGCACAGTGAATATGCGCCATTGATGGTGGATTGGCGATGATCGTGTCAGCAACAAAGAGGTCGTCGGCGTCTTTCACGGTCGCGGCTGTGACACGCTCCCCCATTCCGTCACCAGCCTCAATGCAACTCCTCCAGCACCCGTCGATAATCTCTGCCATCTCTTTCCTCCTTTGCCCAATATCGCCTGCCTTGACACTCTCACGGCTAGGAAGCAAACCTGGATTCTTCACCATGTAGGCCATGAGAGCCTCCGGGTCTCCACCAATGCTGAAAAATTCGACCCCATTCGACTCGACAAAATCCTTGAAGACGGGGTGAGTGCATATTCGAACGCGGTGCCCAAAGGGGGGTTTCATGAGTAGTTGCGCGATTGGGATGAACGGCTGGATATCTCCTCTTGATCCAACGATATGAATGGCGATGTTCAGCCGTGGACTCCTCTGCGGGGGCTCCCTTCTCAGGTTTTCCAAGATTACACTGGTGCGGCGTCGCGCCAGAGCCTCCTCCAATTCTTCATTCTCATCCCCATTCGGCCCAGCTTTGAATGCACCCTGAAAGTCCTGATACCACCTCGCGAGTTTCTGGGGATTGGCGTGGAACCGGACCTTGACTCGTCCATCGTTGCCGACATTGCCGGATGTCGCCGTCTCTGACCTCTCACCATGCAGCGCGATGTGCCCCGGTCCATTCGATTTCATGCGACTGAGAGCCATGATGGGGATTGAAGCTCAGGTCCACAGACCGAGCGAAATGCGAATCCTCAATGCTGGATTTCCGGGCTCAATGGGCGATGAGGGTTGTTTTATTCGGGGGCGATGAGGTTTGGATGAATCTGAGAAGCTCAGCTGCAAATCCCGTCGCGCTGACTCGGGGGAATCACGTGTAGTAATCAAAAAAATGTCCCTCGCATCCATCGTATCCAGCCGCTTTCATCCGCGCACTTCGCCTTAAACGTCATAGAGGATCCGTTTTTGACATTAGCGTCGTTTGCATATTAATTGTTGCAACAACAAACGCGCCCTGAGTGCGGTAAGGTTTACGCCGCTTGCATTGGCGGCCTTGGTGGACCCCTGCCCCCCAAAGATAATGGGCCATTGAAAAAATTCTAGATTCTAGAACGACGGACTGCCCATGAACTGCCGAAGCCTCGGGAGACTTGGTCGCTGATCGGACATTGGCATCTCCCGGCCCGTTGCTCCCACAGAGGGCAGAACCGGAAACAGCCACCATCCGGCCGATCCCGCCCACTCCGGGAATAATCGAGACGGAAACAACGGAGTCGGTGCTTTGGTGAGGGCCGACACTGCGATGCCGATGGTCCGAAGACCGCCAAGGCGACCGCAGAATGCGACCGGGCGCTTCGGTGCCTCGGCAGTGTCGCGAAACCGAGGCTTCGGCACGTATGACCTGCAATTGAGATGATCTCCAAATACTGGGTCGTTGCCTCCATCGTGATCGTGAATTATTCCTGGAACCTGGAAAGTTGTCAATCTTCTTGCTGATCTGAGGAGTCCAATGACCAACTCTGGCGAGGTGCAGACGGGCGGGAGCAAAGTCCGTCATGCACCTGACCCAAACAGGACGTTCGGTAAGACATTTCCAACATGGGGCACTGAAGAATATTCCGGGCACCTGCAAACCCGCCAAATCGACCGTAAAAAACTCGACGACATTCTACCATCGGTCACTCGCATCAAGATTCACACTCAACGCATCGGCATGTAAGTGGCGCTGTGATCCCGTTGCTCGGCCGGGGTGGGACGGGAAGGCCGGAGCGATGTGGGTCCTAGTTCCCCCGAGACTCCGACGGACCCAAACCAGGCTGGAAAGAGCACGCTTCCGAGGAGCCTTTTGCGCCTTGAACGCGTTCCTCATGTTGAAGTCCGTTTTACATAGGAGTAGAGCAGGTGGCCCTTCATCCAAAGCGATCCTCGAAAACTTACGATTGAAATCGACCGCTGTCCAGTTCTGACGGCTGAGGTTAGTTTATCCCTCATAATAGGGATAATAGTAATATAATGGCTTATACTGCTGCTTATCTACACCTAGAGGGCGTTCCTGTATAGACTTTAATGTCATACCTAACTAGAGCAATGCACCCACATACGTTACGTATCTATTGCAGCTGACACATATCCGTCGTGCTAGAGGTATGCGCAACCGCCGTGCCACACGGGGCTTAGGCACACGTGCCTGACACCCTCCCTGGCCATCTTACATCTGGCACAACGCGCGCCTAACCTAAGGGACCTTAGAAAAATCCGCCACTTTGACAGCATCCAAGGCACGCACTCGCTCGCTTCTGCTTTACCACAATATCCAGTCCGTCTATCCCCCACGATGGCAGCTTCATCCACCGCCAAGCTGCCGCCACTCGGCGTGGATGAGTCACCTCAGCCGTACTCCTGCGAGATATGCCAGGACAGGCTGCTATTCGCATGGCACTATGTCGACAATGTTGACCAAGGGTGGTGGGAAGAGATATCGGACCACAACTACTATGCCACCGGCAGGGCCTACACATTCAACATCTCCTACGGCGAGGCGCTTGAGTTGGCCCAGGCTGGTTGCAAGCTGCTTGCGTGGCTCGTGACGCTGCACCGTCCGGACACCTGGGACGAGAGTTGGCTTCGTGCGTACTACACGAGCCCGCCTGAGATCCACATGGTTCTTGACTGGGTCAATGACCTTGATGATCATGTTGACGGTGGAGATCCTTCTCGTCAGGTTGTTGTGTGTGCGGAAGAAGGGTAAGGCAAGCCGGCGGAGTGTACTGCAAGCAGTATGTGCTTACTCCTTGGTACCAAGAGACATTGCTTTCGAAGAAATCAAAACGAAGCTACCGTCCCTCAACCCACTATCAGAGGATGCCTTGTGCAAACTCCGACACTGGTCACACGAATGTGCATCCAAACACCAGAGCTGCATCGAAGCAGAAGCTGCAAGAGCCAAGCTCGATGCTGGATTCAACATCCGGTCAGGGCCTCGTCGCTTGCTATCATTATCTGGAGTAGGCCCGAAACTAGTAGTCAAGATGGTCGAGTCGTCCCAGCCAGTACAACCTTCTTATGTAGCCCTGAGCTACTGCTGTGGAGGTGACCAGAGAGTCAAGCTGCGCCAAGTCAACATTGACAAATGGCGCAAAGGGCTTCCTTATGAGGACCTTCCGCAAACGATCAAGGACGCGATAACGGCCACTTTGAATTTTGGGTTATCTCATCTCTGGGTGGATGCTCTATGCATTATCCAGGATTCAGACGATGATAAGGCACAGGAGATCTCGCGCATGGGCGATATATACGAACAGGCCCACTTTACTATTACCGCCGCCCGGGCGAAAATGGTCGAGGAAGGATTCCTGCATTCTCGGACTATCGCAGGCGAGAGAGGATTCCGGATCCCATATCTCTGTGTGAACGGTGATCTGGGCTCTGCCGTGTTCTGGACAGGCAGGGCAAACGGTGAACCGGAACCGACTGAGACGCAGGCTTGGTGCTTCCAAGAGTCCATTCTCTCACCTAGGGTGCTTTACTTTGGGACGCATAACTCCAAGTGGATATGCGCAGAGACGCGAAAGCAAGACTCCAGACCTCTCTACGACGGCTGGATTGGAGACTCAAGCCTGAATCTCGAGAGTATCAACAGCAGCAGACATTTGGTCTACGGCGTAGAATGGACCGCTATGGCTGATTCCGGGGCTTTTTACCATGGGTGGAGAGATCTTCTGCAGTACTATTCCGTCATGGAGGCCGGACAGCAGCAGGACAGGTTGCTGGCTATGTCGGCCATTGCGAAGAAGATCGGTGGGATCGCAAAGGACAGGTACTCGGCCGGAATCTGGATGAACAGACCAAGTGATTCACTCACCTGGGTTTCCTACTCCGGCGAAGCCAAAAGGCTGACTGACTACTTCATCCCTTCTTGGTCGTGGGCATCTCTATCGGGAGGGGTCGGCTTGGAGAGTTCCTATCCCATGGAAGAGTTCTCCATCCAGCACTTGAAAGTTAAAAGCCAGATATCAGGTGACGACTTCAGTGCACCAATCGAAGCACAGTTGAAGCTGCAGACGCTGACCTTTCCAGCTCACGTCCGCAGAAATGAGGAGTTCGGCGGAGACTTCTTGTGGGACCTAGCAGTTGGTGAAGCCGTTGATAGCCAGCTGTATGTGGACGTAGCTATCGACTGCACGGACTACAGTGCACTACTAAGGTAAATCCGCTAACCTTAGATTTCAGGGTTTTCACAAACAAAAGTGTTACGACCCGTTAGGCATAACACGTTGGAACAACCCCGCCCGGGATCTCGGCGGCTAATGCGGAGCATATGTAAGCAGTAACACAGGTGTAACCAGGAACCATCGGGAAAGGAAGAACTATGGTACAGGTCACGTGACTTTGGAAACAACACGGATACAGGGCAAAGATGGATATGTTGGATATGTCCGCTATCTTAGCTATCTATGGATATGTTGGATACAGTAAAAGGCGTAATGGGTTTCGCGGAATTTCATACACAACATCTTTTATAGTGGTGGTGTGGAGCCGTGGCTTGTGTGGCTTAGCAGCTCACCCCCGTAGCCGGCCAGTACTCAAAGCCCAGGCGTTAACAGAGCCAGAATCCGAGAAGGCCAGAAATGGACATTAGTAAGGGAAAGGCAGGAAGTGGAACAATAGTAAGAGGACAGAGTCAGAAACGGCTTACCATTCAGCCATCAAGGACCCATCCAGCCAGTCTAACCTATATCAATGGGATGAACAGTCAAATACGTTCGCCTTCAAGAATGACATTCCATACGACTTACAGCGGCGCAACGAATGCTGCTGGGCGCATTAAACTGAAGTGTGTGGCGACAGATCTGCAACTGTAAAACAGCACGAAATTCATTATAGGTCTCTATGTCTATATACAAGCATCCAGTGTTTGAGGGGATCATGGAAACTCATGACTGCTTCCCCCAAACTCTAGTTTCCAGGCCGATAGGGCCGATGCGGAAGACATGGTTTTTGGATGGTCCGCACCAAGAACGTTCTCTCTCCGGCGAAAGCAGTCTTGTAGCAGTTGTATCGCATCTTCCCACCGCTCCAGATCTTTCCAAGTGAAGGCAAGACTATGCATGCTCGTCAGCGTCGCGGGATGCTCCTCTCCGAGCACCCTCTTTCTCGTCTCCATCACCCGCACCTCCAGCTCCTCGGCCTCCTTCCATCGGCCTTGGTTCCAAAACGTCGACGCCAGGTTGGCCATGCTCGTCAGCGTGTCGGGATGCTCCTCTCCAAGCACCCTCTTTCTCGTCTCCATCACCCGCACCTCCAGCTCCTCGGCCTCCTTCCATCGGCCTTGGTTCCAAAACGTCGACGCCAGGTTGGCCATGCTCGTCAGCGTCGAGGGATGCTCCTCTCCAAGCACCCTCTTTCTCGTCTCCATCACCCGTACCTCCAGCTCCTCGGCCTGCTTCCATTGGCCTTGGTTCCTGTACGTCGACGCCAGGTTGGCCATGCTCGTCAGCGTCGGGGGATGCTCCTCTCCAAGCACCCTCTTTCTCGTCTCCATCACCCGTACCTCCAGCTCCTCGGCCTCCTTCCATCGGCCTTGGTCCCTGTACGTCGACGCCAGGTTGGCCATGCTCGTCAGCGTGTCGGGATGCTCCTCTCTAAGCACCCTCGAGCAAATACTTAGTTCCTTTGCTTGTAGCTCCTCGGCCTCCTTCCATCGGCCTTGGTCGCTGTACGTCGACGCCAGGTTGGCCATGCTCATCAACGTGTTGGGATGCTCCTCTCCAAGCACCCTCAAACTCGTCTCTATCACCTGTATAAACAGCTCCTCAGCCTCCTTCCATCGGCCTTGGTTCCAAAACGTCGACGTCAGGTTGGCCATGGTCGTCAGCGTGTGGGGATGCTCCTCTCCAAGCACCCTCTTTCTCAGCTCTATCACCTGTATAAACAGCTCCTCAGCCTCCTTCCATCGGCCTTGGTCGCTATACGTCGACGCCAGGTTGGCCATGCTCATCAACGTGTCGGGGTGCTCCTCTCCAAGCACCCTAAAACTCGTCTCTATCACCCGCACGTCCAGTTCCTCAGCCTCCTTCCATCGGCCTTGGTTCCAAAACGTCGACGCCAGGTTGCCCATGCTCGTCAGCGTCAAGGGATGCTCCTCTCCAAGCACCCTCAAACACGTCTCTATCACCCGCATGTCCAGCTCCTCGGCCTCCTTCCATCGGCCTTGGTCCCTGTACGTCGACGCCAGGTTAGCCATACTCATCAGCGTCGAGGGATGCTCCTCCCCAAGCACCCTCTTTCTCATCTCTATCACCCGCACGTCCAGTTCCTCAGCCTCCTTCCACCGGCCTTGGTTCCAAAGCGTCGACGCCAGGTTGGCCATGCTCATCAGCGTGGAGGGATGCTCCTGACCTAGAATCTCTGCCCGCGTGCCCACAGCCTGTTGAACCATCACCTCCGCCTTAGAATAGTTGCCAAGCATCACCAAGTACCAAGACACATTTGTCAGTAACTTGCCCCATTCTAGCCGGTTGCATTCTTCTGACGGTTCTATATCTAATAGGGGCTGTATGTGGGGCATCAGCGTTTGGCACTGCTGCCACGTTTCAAATACGCCCGATGGGAAGTGTTCCGAGGCTGATTGAAGAAATAGCGTCTTCCATTGGTCAGGAGAACCAAATTCTGAGATCCAAACTTTGGTGCAAAATTGCACTAGCGAGTGCATCTCCAAGAGACCCGGCGTAGCTGTTATAGTAACGAGTGAGTAGCCCCGGAGCACATCCAGGTCATCCTCAAAGTCGACATCGCTGGTTCCCCCATCCTCATCGCTGCCCTCTTCAGAATGTATGTCGCCGCTGCCATAGTTGTGCAACATATACTCGGGGATATTTTGAGCGTGGAAATAGCTCATTAGCGATAACATGTTCGCCGCCCGCGGCTGCTCTCGTTTGATCTGCTCAAACGTCACCTGCCACGTTACTACGACGGAATTGGACACCCCGTCATATCGACGGATATCCCCTCTATCGCTGCGAAGAAGAGTGCCCTTTCTTTTTTCACTCTTCTGAAATTCGTCCAAGTACGACAGAATGGTCACCCGGGGGCTTCGTTTGTTGATATACGCCGCTGCCTGGTTTACGGCGAGAGGTATACACTCAAGGGTGCGGCTCAGCCGTAATGCGGCAGCTTCGTTGACGTCCCGGCCTAGTTTCTTTTGTAGTAGCTGCAGAGCCTGTTCGTCCTCCATTGTTGGGACCGTGTAGATCATCCTGACGTTACCTGTTAACCTCTCCGCAGCGTCTGAACTGCGCGATGTAATCAGGATCTTGCTGTTTTCTCTCTTTGGTAGATAAGACGTTATTAGCTTCTCGCTATTACGCTTAGAGAACAACATCTGAATGTCATCCGCATTGTCGATAATCATAAGCCACAGGCTCACATCCTCTCGCTGTAGCCAGTCGCGGACCAGCACCAGGATATCGACGTCAGGGTCGTGGCGACGGGGAAGCGTTAGGACGTCTGCTATGGAGCGGTAGGACTCTTCAAACGTTGCTTTCGTGCTGCCATGGACCCAAAAGACGCTGGTTTTAGGTGAAGTAGCGTGTAGTCGGTGAGCGAATTGGATGGCCATTTGGGATTTGCTGCCGCTTTTGTTAATGCACACCCTTACAACAGCTAGCGTGACATACCCAAACCCGCCCATACCCACGAGAGCGAAGCGACTCTCAGGTCCAGCATGCCGCTCTTCAATCCATGTCCAGATGTCGGACCGGTTCACAAAGTCGGGATCGGAAGGAAACGGTACGACGAAATGAGGACTGCGGGCAACAGAGAGATCCTCAGCCTTGTCGAGCTTGAGATCCTGTAGTCTCTCTTTGAGGTCGGAAAGACGACGTTGAACTATTTAAAATTAGACTACATAGTGTAGACTGAACTTGTAATACTAACTGGAATCAAGCATTTCGCCAATTGGCTTCTCAGCTTCGACACTGGTTGGTGCAATTTGACGCAGAAGATCCCTTGCATACGCTGCAGCCATCATGGCCGCAAAGCCTTGCCACTCCTTGTTCTTGTGCGAGTCGGAGTAGTCACAAATCCCCCGGATGACCAGGCAAGGGAAGTGGTTCATCAGGCCGGCCGCCTCCATCTCAAAGCAGAGAACATTCCTTTCCGCAGCTAATTTATCCCGGATACGCGCGTCCTTCATTAGTTGATTCCCACTGGCAATCAGGCCGTAATGAATAGCGGGATCGTCGTCCTCTTCGTCTCGTTCGGGTCGGGTTATGAGAGATGCAGTATTATTGCCACATGCGATGTCGCATTCGTCGGGTGAGTTCGAAGGATGTAGAATATGAGACTTATACAGCCTGTCGCTTGCTGGGTCCGGTTGTTTGTATTTGCTCCGCCTCCTGATCTTCTCAAGGTTCTTGTTTACATCTTCAACAAGCCGGTGACCCTTCATTTCATACGTGGCTTTCAGCGTGGCAAGAGCCGTTCGCAGCAGCACCGGTGGCTGGTTCAAGAATCCGGTCTCCTGGAACGAGCGGTTCTGGATGGTTTTGCCGAAATCGTATTGGAATACCCCGCCATGTCCGCCGCCTGGTTTGCTGACAACAATATCACCAAGTCGTATGTCATGCTTTTTGCTTGGAGCACCGCCCCCTATGCCAACCATAAGCCCAATGCGCACGTTCGGGAAACTATGGAGCATGTCTTTGGCTACCGTTGCTGCTGAGGTCGTGCCATACTCTCCTTCAGGCAAGGCGGCAATGACGACGTTATGGCTGCCGATGCTGCCCAGGACATAGCTGTTGCTGTCTTGTTGGGCGACTTGTCGCGGACCTGCATGTTCCTCGTCAAGGAAAGCCCTGGCGGCAACGGACTCCGCCGTAACGGCGCAGATCCATCCGACCGTGTAGATTTTGGGATCAGACATGACCGGACTTCGTTGTAGTAAATGAGAATACGCGGATGTTCAAATAAGATGAGTGGAAGCGAAAGGAGCAAGGCGTCGAAGTAAGCGCGGGCGGATATGCTCCCGTTTTTGTTCGTTGGACATAAGATCAGGCTGGCGCTGGTCTCACCCGCATGCGAGTGGGTCCTTAGGTCATGCAACTGGTTGGACTAGATGATTTGCGAAGTGCTCACCGTCGCGCGGTCACTGCCTCTCGAACGAAGCCCGAGAACCAATTAGGGCATCCCATGATATGTAGGCCTGCGGCGGTGCATTGATGGCTTGTCAACAAAAGCCATGGCTAGGTTGTAGATTGGTGAGTTAAGAACGATTGGATATGGGTGGAAGTGGGCTCAATGCGGTGTCCTTTGAGAATGGCGGGATTAGAAAGACGGATTTGAGTGCGGAACAGCTTTTGCCCTGTGCGTCGATATCGCGACTTTATACTTTACTAGGCTGTCAGCCGTTCATCCCATCGGTTTTCTAACGATCAGATTAAGCTTGTTTTGATGGAGTCTGCAATAACATAGTTCATAGCTCTAGCCGTGGTGGCTCGGAGCCACGTGAGCAAGGTGGGCCGCAAACCCGCAGAAACTAATGGAAATCGATGGAAACTTGTCAGAAGGGGCCACGTTGCTTTTCCCGCAGCCCCGTAGCCACCGACATGGAAAGACGCTGTGTGGCAACTAACCACCCCGCCTCAAACTAGGTCAGTTCAATACGGCATGCCATCATGGAAGCCTTGGATCTTAGCTCACTCGACGAGGAATATTCTATCAGTCATGGAATCCCCGAATTCCTGACTTCCAACAGTCTCAGAGAAGGACCGGCCGCTGCGCAACCCAGCTTAACCGCCGAACGAGTCGGCTCCGTCGCTGAACAGAACGATCAGCCAAGTGGTGATCGTGCATTACCTCTTCTCCGACTGAGTGATTGGGACAGCACCAAACAGTACGACAAAAACAATCCTGAGTGCATTCACTATGATTTCCGGTGGAAGGTCTCCCAACGTGAGAAGATCCGAGCAAGGCAAGTCTGTTCAGACACAGATCTCGACCAAGTTCTAGCCCCAAGCGATTTTTGGAAGATCAACTTCGAGTCGCGCCTTACGCTCCTGCTGAAAGATGAGAACAAGTTCCCAGCAGATACGTATACGTGTGAAGAAACGATTGTCGACGTATCCATCGAGCGAAGCCGTCAGCGCGGCCTGAAGAAACGGTTCAAGGGCCTAGAGATCGATTGGGATATCCTGGATAGCCATGTGGAAGGCCTTGGCGCCCTGTTCAGCAAGAGGAGGAAGATAACTTTCGGCGTTGAGTTTATCTACAAGGAAGCCGTAGGCGACCCAACATCTAACAAGTGCAAGAAAAAGGGACAAAATGCCACCGAAGCACAAAAGCTTCAGAGAGCGGCCGATGCCGGTCTCTGGGCTCGGGTCTACAAGCATCATCGCTGCAGAGGCAAATACTGCAAGCAAGGACCACATTGCTGGCTTGACGAGCGAGGAAATCATCACCGTCTACTACCGAGGCATCTAGAAGAGATTTTCAACCATATCAAAAGAAACATAAAGGAAGGAGAAACAGAAGAAGACGTGGATGTGAACATTGAGATTCCATCCAAAATCCTCGGGGATATACTCAATGACAGCCGCAAGCGAAAGGCAGAGGACCCGTTGGACTGCCGAACCTGCAAAGCACACACTTCTTCCGGTAGGCTTCAAGATATGGGTGGAACAGACTTGCGTGAGGACGGTGTGGAGGTTGAAGGTGATAGGATGGACAGGCTCAAAGAATACTGCGATTGGGGCCTGCAGCAAGTCAAGAATGACGAGTGGAGGGAGGCTCTGCAGGCTGCAAATCGCTTTGCTATGGACCAGTTTCTCGAGCTGAATTCCGTTCTGAAGCACCCGAAGGTGGCTGCCGACTTGATGGTGAAAGGTGGAGTCAAACCGGGCATTGCGCTGCAGTTCGTGAGCAATATCACTAAGTTCCGACAAGAAATAGAGAGGATGTGAAGAACGGACGAAGATCACCTACGTTGCATGCGTCAGTTTATTGCTATGATAGAATTTATTCAGGTGGCTGCGTGATTGCTATTCCCGCATGATGGAAGTGACTCTCGGCCATATCAGCATCATCTCCAACCACGTCTACGCACCACTCCAAGAACATTTTGAACTCCCTGGCGATAAAGTCTTCATTCTCGTACCACTTTTTCTTGATGAACTTTTTGAGAACCCCGAAGTGCTCCTCAATTGGGTTGAAGTCGGGTGAATATGGTGAGAGGAACTCCAATACCACACCTGCGTCTCGGCACATCTGCATAATCCTCTCTGAATGATGCCAAGACGCGTTGTCCATGACGATCACAGACTTTGGCTCTGGGTACCTGCCACAATGGTGCAGCAACTGGGCAATGAAATCCTCGAACAAGTCACTGTCTGTTGATCCTTGGTATACTCGCCTTAATACGATGCCATCTTGTGCGTACGCCGGAAGGATGTGCCATCTCTTCCCACGACCGAACTTCGTGGTCTCTACCGGAGAAGAGCCCTTCGGAGACCAACCCCAACGACGGTATCCCGCTCTCCTATCGCAACCAGACTCGTCAACAAAGACAAGCTGATAGGACTCATACTGCGAAATCCGATGCAGGTAGTGGTCTCGAAGGTCGTCGTCCCGTTGTTGGGCGATGCGACGGATCGTCTTTCTCGTCCAACCCATTGATCGTAGCGTCCGCCCGATTGATCGCTCCGATATTCTGATACCGAAGCTACGATAGAGGAAGTCTGCCATCTCGCACCGATACATGTACGGCTGTTCAATTAGTCTATCACGCAGTGCTTCTTGCATGCGCGTGGTCATGCGGCAGCGACGGCCGAGGCCGACATGAGCTGGGTTTCGGGTGTGCATCTCAAGACGAGACCCTTTGAGACGCATTTTCTGGACGGTGCGTACGGAGCATAAGGCTTTTGAGGCAATGAGACGGTTCTCGAAACCCTGTGTCAGCAGTGTATTGATTAGGGAATGTTGCGCGGCATTCAGTTGCGGCGCCATGATGATGGATGTCACTCCAACGCCGCTTTTGATTGAGGAGAGGGGAGAAGGACGGGACAGTAGTCAGACGGGGGAGGGGGCACCCAACAGTTGTTGGACTGGTTGGGCCCACTGCAGCTTATTGGTAAGCCATTTCTAGACGCAATCGTCTTCAACTTGATCCCAATTTCCTATCTATTCTTAGAAGCGTCCATTTCTAGCTCTCTCGGTTTCTGGCTCTGTTAGTGACAGGTTAGCGTGTACCTGATGACTACAATCAGAAGCTAGTAAGCCACACTCGCCACAGCTCCACACCACCACCACTAAAGATGTTAACTAGAATATCTGGCGAAGCCCATTACGCCTTTTACTGTATCACACGCAGTATTCAGTGAAGCATATCGTTAACGAGAACTAGACGCCAAGTGATCGTTCAGTGCTATTCGCAGCCAGAGAGTTTACGCAAGATGAGATGACTTCCGAGTCCAACACTCATCTGATTCCAGTACCTAGGTGAGAGCATTTGTGTTCCAAACGAACAACCAAGTGCCCCTCAGAATATGCTTAGCAAATACTCCGATCGGGATCAAGGGTGCCGAGATAGCGTCGGGATGTGCCCGACATCACCTCGTCAAAAGGGCGCAGACATGCCACATTCGTGTCTTCATTGTGGACTTTGATGATGCGAGATCAAAGAGGGCCTCTGGATTGGCTGCTGCAGAATCCTGAATCTGCAAGTTTGCTATCTTGACCCCATTATCAGCAGCCAAAGCAGACGAATGGTGCTGCGAAGAAGACGGTGCGGGGTGTCCGAGGGGTATCACCATCTCTGGTCGATATTGCGTCAGGCCGGGTTCGGCGCCGACCCACCCCCAACCAACGTTATCTCCAGACCGGAGCCGGTGCGCCCCAGAGCCTCCGGGCTATTGATAAAGTGTTGGGCCCCGATTCTGCAATTGTGTCTTGCATTCGCGTGGCTAGTGTGCATGTTCTGCATTGAGAAAGTTTATCATTCGCATCATGGGGACCAGTGAACAGCTCCAAGTAGCCATCGTCGGCGCGGGCATCGCCGGCCTGACGTCGGCCATTGCGCTGAAGGCGCATCCTGGTATCAACGTACAGATCTTTGACAAAGCGAGGGAGCTACGAGAAGTTGGCGCGTCGATTGCGCTGGGTCCGAACGGGTTGCGGACGCTGGAGAAGCTGGGCATTCACAATGCGCTGGACGATGAGATTGCGTTCCGCAATAAGTCGGGTTATCCCATGATCTATCGGTCAGTAGAGTCTATGGCCTAAACATGGATGGATGCTTATGGAGAGAAGTCACTACAAGACGGGAGAAATCGTCTCGGTTGACGAACATCACGGCGATGTCGACCCTCGCCACAAGACAGCCCGCTTCCACCGGCCTCACCTACAACAAGCGCTTCTCAAGCACATCGACCCCTCCCAGATTCACCTCAACAAAGCCTTCTCAAGTATCTCAAACGACGATATCACGGGAAGACTAAACATCACATTCACCGACGGCACTACCACCACGGCAGACATCCTCCTCGGCGCGGACGGCATCCACTCCGGCGTGCGGAGCTTCTACGTGCCGTCGTCCCGGTCAAAGTGGACCGGCTGGACAGCCTTTCGCGCCGTGTACCCCATCTCGCACCTCGCGCACATCCCCGACGTCCCGGACGAGGCAGAGCACTGGTGGGGTGTCGACCGGACGTGGTTCATGTCGAAGCTGGGCCGGGACTTGTTCTGCATTGTCGCGTCACACCAGAGTGACCCGGACGCGAGCGATGCGCTGTACAAGGACACGGTGTGGAACACGGACAGCGACGTGAATCTGCTCAAGGAGCATTACAAGGACTGGCATCGGCTGGTCAGGGAGATTATCGATGCCACGCCGGCGGATTCGTTGAAGGTGTACCCGAATGCCTCGGCGCATGGGCTGGAGAGCTGGGTTCTTGGGGAGGGGAGGGTGACGTTTGCGGGCGATGCGGCGCACGCGCATGGTGGTGCGTTTGCTGCGGGTGGCGGTTTGGCTATTGATGATGCGTGGGCATTTACAACTGCTATTCAGCATGTATATCCTCCTGGCGCTGAGGCGCTGCCCTCGTCGGCAGATATTGAGAGGGCGTTGAGGTTGTATGAGAAGACGAGGAAAGCGCATACGGATCGCGTGCTCGATACCGTGCATTCGACTAACAAGAAGAAGGTGGAGAGGATCGGGATTGTTGAGACGGATGAGGGACTGAGGGCGAGGATGAAGAATCGGGTTGAGCCTGTTTGGATCCATGAGCATGATGTCGAGGCCGTGTTCAGAAAGGTGCTGGAAGACGAGAAGGCGAGTGAGAGGACGACAGAAGCTCCATCTGCAGTGCAGATAGAAAGTCGACTGTAGATTTCGCGCAATGATAGAAGACTTTGAAGCCCGGGATTACATTTATTTGAGATATCTGTCGTGCATGCATTTTAAGGCATTACCTACCAGCCTGACCTTGATGTCTCGTAACAAGCCCATGTTTAGTAAGGGACCTCAAAAAGACGTAAGCTTTACTAAACTGAGTCTATTCAGCCTCAATAATCTCCTAAAAATATATCAAGAGAAGACTTTTTGGTGAGCAGAAGGGTTTCTGAGTAAAACTTGAGGTTGAGGCGACTTCATAATCATATAGGTGCCCGTTCAGACCAAGTGGGATTGAAAGTAGGAAATTGAACTTAACTCTTTTGAGGATACGCACCCTCTAAATAGGAATCTTCTGATGTATTCTATATGACGTGCGGGTAAATCTGGGCAGCACAAGATGTCCCATTCCCTTACTCTCAGATTGTTCGTCACATGAAAACAAACACTCACTGAGAGATGCTTCAGTGAGAGTGAAAGAGCAGTGAGATGATTCAGGGCGGTCCCTGCCTTAGCTGCCGGTGCGGTCCGTGCTCGATCCTGTCAGTGGACCCACAGAGTGCCCTTGATTGGTCAATGTCGTTACTGTTTTTCCATAGCCCCGGGCTAGCCGCCGTTCCCGTGGTGTCCGTGCGTCTCATCCAATGGCAGAGCTTGCGCAGGCCCCACCATGCGCGCCTTCCCGTCTCGTTTTCCAACCCGTCGTCCCTTCCCGCTCGCTGATGTCTCTGCTGGGTGGGATGTACCTTGTACCACAGCACCTTCCTTCCTCCCTCCGAGTCTCTGTAGCGTCACAGTCGTCACAGCCGCTCTCCCCCTTGCGAGGTGTCGGCAACCTGCGTTTGTCCAAGCAAACATCACCTCACCACATATTGATTGCTCTCTCGAAGGTCGTCTCCTCCCCCGCACCCGGCAGCGACTCTGCCTCGCCAGCTCGTGGCATTGTGTCGCATTCGCCCTCGATCTCTCTATCTCGACCTGCCGTACCCCGCCGCCTCGCTTTTCCCCCGTTGCGCCAACGGCGGAAGACCCTCCGTTTGATTGCGCCTCTCGACATGGCACAGCCTTGCCGCAACTTGGTGCTCCGACGACTGCCATCATGATCTTCTGGACTAATAGGTCCATCTGACATCCACTGAGGTACCCTTCTTTCCCTGATGTTCTTAGCTGGAGACCGAAAAATTGACTTCTCCCTTCCCTTCTAGACCTCGTCGCAATCATGGCACCGCATACCAAGCCCGCCCAGTCTGCACCGAGAACCCCTAAAAAGCCGAAACATATCGAGCGACTCGCCGAGACCATCGACAAGCTGAACCGCGATTACAACCTCGCCATCGAGATCCCTGACCGTACCTTGACCCCGAGACACTCCGAGCGCCGCCGCAAACACGATGCAGCTTTCGCCCGGAGCGACAAAATTGTGTACTGCATCAGGTTCCACTGCTTCCAAAACACCACTCTTCTCGACAAGATATTGCATGCCTTCCACTTAGAGGCTCGTGCCGCCAGCCAGAAATGGATTCGTTTGTCCGACTGTTACGACCCCGTCCCTGCCACAGCGAGACCACCAATAGCCGAATCTCCGGGAGAGGTGTTGGAGCTTCAAGAGATTCTAATCAGCGTGCTGGAGAAGGCTAAGCCACAGGACAGGGAGGACATTCCCAAGCCAAGACCCTTTGCGCGTGCCCAGAGCGGCCCGGCAGTCTACACTTCCATCGAGGTTCCCAAGTCTAAGAGAAGGCCGCCCGAGGACACGAAGGACTCCCCAAAGAGGGTCAAAGCTAGCCCGGCGGTTGACGAAGAAATTGACGAAGCAATTGCCGATGCTTTGGACAAGGTCCCTAGCCGCTCCCGATCTGCCAAACCTGATTTGCCCTCAGCCAAGTTCGTCAGGGACAATCCTTTCAGCGACATTAAGCCTAAACCTTTGTCAAATGTGCTTCCGCCCCTACGGGAAAGCGTGTATGCTGCTGCCTCCGTCGCAACATTGGCCACCACCAGCCGGGCTTCGCTATTCTCTGCCGCGAATGAACCTCCTCCTAGTACTCAAGAGACTGTTCCAGCGCCAAGCTATGAGGCAAGGATACGAGGACCGGTACTCTCGCAGGAGCCGAGATCTTCTCAGTCGCAAGACCCCTTTCCAGCTTCGTCAGGTCACTTGGATGCTCTCAATGTCTCCTTCACGGAGCATGAGGCCGAGGTGTCTTCAAGGCTCTACACCAAGCCGCCTGGCCATGTACCCACCCCGGGCGACAGCTCCCCCGGTCTCACAACGATTTACTCGGAGATCTCAGGTCTTGATGATCCCGCCCTGTACCAGCCAATTCTGAGCCCGTCAAAACGTTCAGAGCCAGTTGACCTCCAGTCCCGGCTTATCGCCACCTGGCGTGAGTTTCTCGGCCCTTGTCCTCGTCGCGCCGTGCCCACTGCAACAAGACCGTACTCTCAAGCTTCTGTACTGACCATGCTCTAGCCAGATTCCCAGCATGGCTCAACCGGGCTCCTTTTGCCGTCGCGTGGGAGATCACCCGTATCGCACTCCACTGCGGTGTTGACCTTGGTGAAACCCTCATGTCTTACGATGAAACCTGGATCAGCTACAATAATCTCTGGAGAGCGCTGCTCGCACACCCATCCTTCGCCGGCAAAGCTTTCCCCGAGAGACCAACAACGGATGCTTGGACTGCAGGTCTGAGTGGCTTCAAGTCTCCTCGAGGACAGCATGTCACTTTCACGGCCTCACTTGTACAAACCAAGAAAGTCAAATCCGGGCCAATCTTCTCTTTGACGATGGAGCCAATCGCGTTAGACCAGGGCTGCCGCCTGCACCGCCGATTTGGATCCGACCGGTTCATTGAGCTTGTCATCCCGTCCCCGAACTCCTGGGAAACGCCCATCAATAATCCCAAAATCTCCGAAGACGTCATTGATTGGTTCTCTTCTCGGTTGCATTATCTCGCCGGCCGGCAATGGCGCGCTTTTTATTCGCGAGACGCAGGGTACAAGACGCCTCAGACCAACGTGAGCCTTGGTCCTGACCCCAAGCCCATCTTTCGAGAAAAGATAAGTCTTTTTGCCGAAAATGGAAACAACTTCCATGCTGCTATCCCCATGAGTTCAGTGCCTATGGAAACTCCTAGCGAGCTCAGAGTCAAGCTGGAGGTGCGAGACATGCTCAACTGGCTCTTGCAGTTGGACTGCAACGAACACCAGCCGTACCTCAAATTGTTTGCCCGCATTCAACTTGGACTCAGCAAAACAACCCCGGTTGTTGTCCTGAATCGCAATCAGATCCGTCACCAGGAGAAAGACATGGTTTCGCCAATCGGAAAGGTAATGAACGACGGTATTGGCCGCATGTCACCTAAGCTCGCTCAAAAAATCAAAGACGTCCTCGGTTTGCAAGACATTCCTTCTGCAATTCAGGGGCGTTTCGGCCCTGCCAAGGGTATGTGGCTTATTGATATCAAAGACACTGGAGACGGCTTGTGGATAGAGACATGGCCGTCCCAGAGGAAGTGGAATTGCGACTACCTAGATCCAGAACATCGTACGCTCGAAATCAAGAGCCACGCTGCCGAGCCGCGATCCGCAAGTCTCAACATCCAATTTCTTCCTGTCCTAGAAGACCGCGCTGTAGACAAGCCAATCATGAGAAAGGCCATCGGAGACAGTCTCGTAGATGAACTCAACCGCGAACTAGAAGGACAGAAAAATGCCATGAAGTACCCAGTACAGTTTCGACAGTGGGTGAACGAAAACTCCATCGGTCGGAAGCAACGCTTGATCCACAACAGTGTGCCCTTTTTGGCCGGCCTCCCCGACTCCAACGAGGAAACGATGAACTTTCTCATCGACGGCGGCTTCGAGCCTTCCAAGCAGAAGTTCATTCAGGATATCGCATGGAACCTTCGTCGCCAAAAGTGCGAGAACCTGAAGAAGAAGATGAGCATCAAGATTCCCAACTCTGCCTACTTTTACATGGTCATCGACTTTTGGGGTGTGTTGGAAGAAAACGAAGTGCATCTTTGCTTCTCATCCAAGTTCCAGACCGAATCCTTTTCCGACTCTATGCTACACGGGTGCGATGTTCTCGTGGCCCGATCTCCTGCACACTTTGTGAGCGACGTCCAGCGAGTCAAGGCTGTTTTCAAGCCGGAGCTTCATGCATTGAAGGATGTCATCGTTTTCTCGGCCAAGGGGGACATTCCACTGGCCGAAAAGCTGTCTGGCGGCGACTACGACGGAGACAAAGCTTGGGTTTGCTGGGAACCAGCCATTGTGTCCAACTTTGTTAACGCCAATGTCCCCCCAAGTCCAGACCTGTCCAGGTACCTCAAGAAAGACAAGACATTGTACGAAGACCTTGTGCGGCGACACGGCAAGGTTGCAGCGGTCCCTGCAATGATAAAGCAGAGTGTCGCTTTCAGTGTGCGCCCTAGTTTTTTGGGTATCGCGACGAACTTTAAAGAACGGCTCTGCTACAAGATCAACAGCGTAAACAATAATTATGCGCTGTGGTTGAGCACACTTCTTGGGAACCTCGTTGACCAGTCCAAACAGGGCTTCGAGTTTACGGCAGATGATTGGAAGAGGTTCCGCCGAGAGGTGCTCGACAGCCATAAATTTCGAGACTTGGATGAGCCAGCGTACAAGAGTGAGAGTTGGCCTAGCAGAGGGAATCCTGCCCACATTATTGACTACCTGAAATTCTCGGTTGCCAAACCGACCATCGACAAGGAGCTGGAGAGGTTCCACCGAGCGATGAATACGCGCTCTAGTTCCAAGCGCGAGTTGAGGTCTCTTCAGTTGAGTAAAGAAGACAACGAGGAGCTGACAGCTGAGTACTGGGATCCCGACTTAGTCACGCCACACGATGAGCTTGAAAAGCTGGCGTCGACTATGCCAGTGCTCAAGAAGGTGTTGAAGAACCTGAGGAAGGACTTGATGGCGCTGGAGGAGCAGTGGGGCAAAAGTGTGACCATGACCAAGGACAAAGACGAGCTTCCTCGCCGTATGTCCGAAGTCTACGAACTATGGTGTGCCATTCAGCCTCGGGCGGACGAGGAGCTCAACCCCTTGGCGACGGCGTATCTCAAACAGTCGTTCAAGACGGAAGAGCACACAACGTGGGCCTTGATTCGCGCCAGCACTGCCTTCAAGTACTGGTACAAGCGAAAGTCCACCCTCCTGTGGCGCATGGCTGGCAAACAGTTGCAGCACATTAAGGCCATGACAACGGCTTCACGTGACAAGGTTCCTGTCACCGTGGTTCCGCACATATACGCAGCCTTGAGGCCTGACAACAAGTTCATCACTCAGGCCGTCTCCAAGATGAAGGAAGATGGCTCCGAATATCCTGGATTGGAATCCGACGGCGAGGATTTTGTGGGCGACGAATAGTGTCCGTCTACACCCCCTATGTCTTTTCACAAAAGTCACCACGGTTGCGACCTTGGTGCCCGACTTTCGCTGTCGATATCGGAGACTTTCTCCGGTTCGCAGAGACGGTCGGAACATCTGCCTCACAAGGGTTGAGGCTTGGAATTTTCTAGAGCGTTTCGCATGGATACCCCTTTGTGTTCGTATTTTTCAGCAGGATTTGGACATCATCAAGGTGCCCTGTGGGAGTTTATGGTAAAGAATAGAGCCTACCTGTACCTGCGTTTACCTTTGAGGCGTATTGCATGGCAGCCTGACCGTGAGAACTCTGATGCCTACGGGTCGCCAGAAGGCAGTTTGCAAGCCATGCCAGAGAGGTGGCTTCGACATAATTCCGTTGTGTGGTAGAAGGGTATAAAGTCGAAAACTTTGGGGCCACACGCCGCTCACCCTCTTTCCCTCCTTGTCGAACTTTCAGATCTACAAGTTGGTTCTGTCTCAGTACACCAAACAATCAAATCCAACAAGATGTTCTACCCACACAATATCCATACGTCATTCCCAACCAAGAACACGGCGCAGCCGCAGTCATCCTCTTCATCGTCGTCGTGGCGGAAGGACAACGAGACCGAGGATTCGATCACATACTTGGACATTCCTAAGCCCGTCAGCTCCATCATGGCAGACAACAGGCGTCTGAACGGTACCCCAATGGACGCCAAGTACACCAGGGACGAAGTCAAGGCCGCCGTCCGCACCCGCAGAGAGAACAGAAAGAACGAGGAACGCTTGAACCAGCAGAGGAAGGGGATCCTGGCCAAAATGCAATCGGACAACGGCCTCACACGCTACTTCTTCTCCGTCTTCCCCGACGGCGCGCCCATCCCCGGGATTACAGCCTTGGAGGACTGCGTCCTTGGCATCCGCCATTCCGAGGGCCGCAAGCTCGACACGGAGATCACCGAGGCCGAGGTCTCCCGCGCCCTGGAGCTTTTCGCCGACCAAGTCAAGTGGCACAACGCCAGCCTCACGCCTGTCGGCACCGTCAGCGAAGAGTGCGTCAAGGGCTCCACCGCGGACACGCTTACGATGTGGCTTGAGACCCTACGGCTGCGACGGAAGCTTTCCGAGACGACGGAACATTCTGAGGGATTGGCCTTGCAAGCGCGAATTGAGAAACTGGTAGAGAAAAGAGTCCGCGCGACGGTAGAAAAGCAGAAGGCCGCGCTGTATCCCGAGGCGAGTGGCAGCGGAATCCCCAAGAGGGCTACTAAGTGGCCGGAAAGCCGGTTCCAACATCCCAAGACCAGAGGCGGGCACACGGAGTCCACGACACAGGAACGGATTGAGGCGTGGGCTGCGTGGGAGCGCGCCAATGACCGTGCGGACGCGCGGATCAAGCGCCAGAACGAGAAGACCGCGAAGCAATTGGAGTGGGAGTTGGATCAGCAGCATGCGGCGACGCTGAAGAAGATGTTTACCCCGACCGAGGAGGAGCTCAAGGGGCTCAAGCGCTCCTTGAAGCCGGAGACCGACGGGCTCGTCAAACCCAAAGACAAGCGTGGCGACGGTATGAAGAAGATTATTGAGCACCTGAAGGCCGGTTCTGATTCTTGGTCGTCTGACGGCAATGACGGTTCCGAGGGGCAGAGTACTGCGCAGCCTCTGTTCTATTCGCCTACGAAGGAGATTCTTGATACTTTCAAGAAGGCCTGGAATATGCCTCTGATAAAGTCAATGTTTTCCGAGATGTCCAACCCAGAGACTGACGTCAAGGGAAAAGGCAAAGCCGTCGACCGCAGCGGAGCCGAAGATGAGGCCGCCAAGAGAGAACGCAGCCTACAGACCTTAGAGGTTAGACAACGCCAAATGGAAGAAGATCTTGTCGTCGATAACGGTGACAAGGAGCATTTCCTGTCAGATGCACTCCATGACCCACACTGGACAGGCCGCTCCAATCCGGACAGTTTCCTGAGAGGCTGGCCCGAACGTTCGAACGAGACGATGTTGGCTGTGCTGGGGCGGGCTTCGGAGTTGTCGGAGCAGGAGAAGCAGTGGGAGCGCAAGCAGTACTGGGCCGACTCGGCTGCGCAGATGGACGTTCAGCTGCAGAGGGTGAAGCGGCAGCGGGAGGAGAAGCTCGAGAGCGAGACTGTTGCTTCGGCTTCGAAGAAGACCAAGACCAAGACCGAGACCGAGGCCGAGGCTGAGTCCAACGAGCGTGTGCGCAAGAACTTCAGGGCCGGCTTCGAGAAGTGGAAGAGCGAGAACGTCAAGCAGGTCACTTTGGCGGAGGCGTATCAGCACTTGTTCAAGGGCAAGGACAGCACTGCCGAGGTCAACCACCCCAACACCCCTGACGACAAGGCTGCCGGGAAGCAGAAGATTGACGTTCCTTATGTCGCGAACCCCCCCATGACTTACGCGCCACGCCGTCAAGAATTTCCCACGTCAAATGTCAGGAATGAGGATCCTGAAAAGGGAGACGCCGTATCCTGCAACTTCTGGGCTTCTCCCGAGAGGCAGCTTCTCAACACGAAGTCCCGCGACACTTCACAAGAGGATCTCGGTAGTAGCGTCGTTGGTGGTTTGCTTGAGGAGCCTCCTAGCATTTGCGCTGCTAAGCAATCGGCCGCGGCCTGGATGCATCAGGGTCCGACGCCGCCCGCGGTGACAAGCGACGACCAATCGCGAAGTAAAACTGAAGCTTTCCATGAAATGATGAAGAGGAATAAACGCAGTGAAGACGCGCTGCTCCAGCAAATGCGGACGGCCGAGAAGGCCTTGAAGGACCATGAACAAGGAAAAATACGATCTCGGGGAACTTTTTTTGAGGTTCATAATCCTCCGCCTCAGAACCCATACGATACATCCTCTTTGAGAGAAGCAGCCCATACTCCGGCGGGCCCCAGTCTCCGTCCAGGGAAGCAGAACGGAACGGAGAAAGCTCCGAGGCAGGAGAAGAAGGAAAGTCGGGGCAACGGGGCTGAGATGCCCTCCGGCGACCGTCCAATCTGGGCGACCGCAAGCGCGTACCCACAGCCTGCACAAAGACATTACCTGACACCCAAGCAGCCTTCGCTTTATGTGGACACCCTTCGCGGGCAGTATGCTCCCATAATCGCTGCGTCGTACGGCTCCTACAATGTTGCCCCGCCGGCAACCGTCTCGACACCGTTCCCACAGCCCGAGAACCGGAACGAAGCTAAGAAGACCCCCGGTCAAGAGAAGAACGGCCATATCTCCCACTCCTACAATCAGCGTCCCTCTCTCGACCTCAAGCATCCTTACCCGTACAGGCCCAACTATACTTCTCCGTACGCGCCCAACTGGACTGGCCCGTCGACGCCCTACTATGCTAACTGGATGAACTATGCTTCCCCGTCGACACTCAACTACGCTGCCGTCCCGGCATTCTACTCTGCTACCCCGCCGACCAGGCCCAGCTATCCTACCCCATACACGCCCAACCATCCTCTCCGACACACAGCCTGCTATGATGTCCCGCCGGCACCCTCTGTCCCCCCGCCGGCACCCGTCCGGACAGAAACGACCCGAGCAATGGCTCAACCCCCCCGGCCTGCTCCTAAGCCGCCCGTCGACTTTGAGTTGGCGTACAACACACTCGCCGCCAAGTTCCAGAACTTGCACATCTCCACCGCGGCGACCGTCCGGGCCTTGAACGAGGACCTGAAGCGGGCGTCCACCTCGGTCGATAGGATGATTCAGAAGATGGCGGAGAAGGAGGCTGCTTCTTCAGAGGCTCCTCAGACTAGTTCTGCAACACGTCCATTGTATCCCGATGTGGGCGTCCCCATCCCCGAAGAGGCTGCAGATAGCGTTGCAGAGGTGGATGACGAGGTCGGGCTATACACAGAAGGGAACGAGCCAATGAGTTACTGTGGACCTTACGTTGAGGACGATGAGGATTCCATGAACCATTACAACCAGGATGATCCACCTACTTTGATGGATTCTGAGGAGGAAGAGTCTTCAGATGAGGACGATGAGGACGAGTCTTCCGATGAGGATGACTCTTCAGATGAGGATGAGTCTTCAGATGAGGAAGATGAGGACGACGACGAGTCTTCAGAGGGCGACCAAGACGAATCTTTAAATGAGAACGAGCCTTCGTGCGAGGAAGAGTCTTCGTGCGAGGATGAGCCTTCATACGAGGAAGAGCCTTCACACGAGGATGAGTCTTCATACGAGGAAGAGCCTTCACACGAGGATGAGACTGTGATGGAGAACGAGCCTGTGATGGAGCCCGAGCAGGACGAAACCGAGGAGAACGAGCCTGAGCAAGAGCAGTGCCCGTGCCCTGAATGCCAATGCGCCAACGCTTCCTGGTCCCACATCGGCGGCTACGATGACGAGGCCTGCGATGGCGAGGACATGGTCTGCGACTGTGCGGAATCTGACGATACCCTTCTCGACAGCTGCTACTGCGCCACGTGCGAATTGCTCCGCGAGTCGGGAGCTGAAGTCCCCGAGGAAGTGGCGGTGTCGGTTGCCTCCTCCGTGACAGAGGGCGAGACCGCGGAGGTGGAGATTGACGATGAGGATTACTGCATCCTGGACGACGAGGACCGAGATGCCGAGCAGGATGAGTACGAGTGGGTTGGCGAGAATGAGTTTGCCTAGAGGGCTGTGGGTTCTGTAGGGTTGTATGCTGAAGTTGTCAGGAGATCAGTAGTACAAGTCAATAAGTTTAAACCCAACGATCTTCTTGAGTGAACGTGATCGTGGTCGTGACTTTGCTGTGGTTGATACCGAAAAGCTGTGAAGAGTCACTGTCCACCAAAGCACGCAAATCGTGACGTTTCAGTTGCCATGAATCGTTCTTATTGTATTGTTTTTCTACTTTTCCTACTTTTCTGCATGTTTTTGTCGTATCTTGGTGGTGTGAGATGTGAAACAGCTCACCTCATGGTGTTGGCAGCCATGGCAGCTGCATCGTACGGAGAAAAAGCCCATAAACCCATAACGCCAACCGGCCCATTTCATATCCGAGTAAACCCTTCATTACGCCAGCCATCAGCCCGACTTCGCGGGATCCTGGAAAAAGATGACCTGCACTGTGACATCGTCTCTTACACTACGCGACAGGGGAGGGTACGCGAGGGCGACACCGGTGAAGAGGGTTCTCCGGGCACCTCCCAGGGCGTTCTTGATGAGGTGGACGGCGGCGTTGTCGAGATCCTCGACAACAAAGTTCTCAGGTTTGGCGTACCAGTTAGGCCAGCCGTAGGTGAAGTCGAGCTCGCTCTTCTGGCCGGGGGTGGCGGCGAGCTTGTCCTGCGGCGTCTGCTTTCCGGCCTTCTTCGCCGCGATCCATTGGGAGACGCATTCCACGGCGTCCTTGGACGAGATGTGGTCCCACAGGCCGTCCGACGCGAGGATGACAAAGTCGGGGCTCTCAATCTTGGTTGTCGTGACGACGGGCGCGGCGGTCATGTAGGGTGCCGTCTTGGTCTTGGGGCGCGGGCCGGTGCCCCAAAAGTTCTGGTGGATATGAGTGATGAAGTCGTTGTCCCATTTCCAGCGATGGTCGCCAAAGGCGCGCGTGACTGCTATTCCGAACAGGCGCCCTGACTTGGGATCGATCATGTCAGCCTCCTCACCGGGGTGCTCCTTGGCGAGCCGGTCGAACTCGTCCTGGTTGCGGCCGTTCTGGTCCTTGGAAAGCTCAAGGGAGGAGTACGAGGTGGCGCCGGCGGGGATGGAGCCCAGGACGGCGCGAGAGTCGCCGGTGCAGGCGACGCGGAGGGTGGAGGTTACGGGGTCGAAGATGGAGAGGAGGGCGCAGGAGCCAGCGATGACGGGGGCAAGGACGGAGGTCACGCGGGAGTCTGCAGTCTCGCAGGTGCCGGCTTTGAGGCCATCTACGGCTTTCTTGGCGTTGGCGAAGAGAAGGTCGTCGAGGTTGGTGAAGGCCTTGACGATCGTGGTGTCGATGGTGCTGTCTGGGGTCCCGCTGGGGAGCTGAGATAGAGGGGCGGAGACGGCAGGGATGAGGGCGTCCTTAAGCACGACTGAAGTTGCCCATCCGCTGTTTTGGGGTCAGTAAGGTGAGGCGGCAAAGAGAATTGGGGAACTAACGCGTGACCATCGTAGACTCCGTTGAAGAGCGTCTCGGACTTGCCCACGCCCGGGGCCAGGGAGAAGGCCATCATGTCCTCGACGGGGTGGTTGCTGGCGACTCTGGCGGCGTGAACGTGAGTGTTCTTGCCCTCAGCCGTAAATGAGCCGACAAACACATCCTCGCGAAGCTTCGCATCTGCCGTCTCGAAGCTGCCGCTGTCGACGGGCGACTTGGTCAGGGCGTCGAGATCGACAGGGCCGGAAAGCGTGGGAATGGCGCCGCTTTTGCTCGTCTTCTGGTACTGAGCGAGCTGGTACCCGACACCGCCTGCGAGGACTGCAGCGACGGCCGGCAACACGCGGCTTGACGACTTGGGCTTGGAAGGGCCGCCGGCCGAGTAAAGACGCGTCCAGCGCGGAGCAGCACGGACAGCAGTGCTCGGCGCTGAGGAGAGACGGAGGCCGACTCCGGCGCCGACGCTGGGGCGACACGCAGCGCGCTGCAGCATCATTGTTGCAGTGCAGTGCGGTGCTGGAGCAGTCGGGGTCTTTGGTGGTGGGAAGGACGAGCCGGGGTTCCCTTGGGGAAGCGACCGCTTGGCGAGAGATGGATGCTGGTGTTGGTGTGGTGCGGCGAGGGACGGATGGTTCCCTGTTGCTGGTACTTGTGATGTTGTTCAAGGTTGGTGTTGTTGGTAGGATGTCGCTTTGTGGTGAAGAAGGTTCGGTTGGAATTCTGACACCAGGCGGTCAGCCGTTTGAGAAAAGAAGGAAAGAAAAAGGGAAAGAGCACCCCTTGCGGCAAACGAAACAAAACACACCTCACACAAGGCAGGCCCGTTGATTTTGTCTGAGGTAAGAACGGGTGAGATTTTTGTGGCAGGTGATCGCGTGTCACTGCATTCGGACCCTTGCGTTGCGTTGAGTGAAGGGTGAGTGCCGGGCAGCCTATGAGAGCCGCCTGAGAGTGAGAGTGAGCCTGTGAAGTGAGTGCGAGCCACCTAATAAGCTGTGAGATGCACATTTTCAGTGAGTTGTTTCCCAGCCACGATTTATTTCACTCTGCGGCACGGACCGTACGGCATCTGCCCGCAAATTACTCGCTGAACTCAGCCTCAGTGAATCAAGGAAAAATGAGGGGTGATGCCTCTCAATTGAGGGAAGAACACCTCGAAGGATTCTCTTATCTTGGACGACTCCCGTTAAAGGCTTAGTTGGAGGGTCCCAGTGACTCAGAGAGGGGAAACTCGTCGTGTTGTAATGTCGGTTGTGAGATCTCGTGATAGCACCTTATCCAGACCGTCCAACTGACATGGCGCCATATCCCCATCTTTGGATATGGTCATTTTTTTATCATAACCGACAAGAAAATGGATGAATCCAAATGATGATCTGCCTGCCTCGTTTAGTTTCTACTCGCAGTGGGTAAATAGTACTATTGCCTCCCATTTACTGGCCGTCACCCACATTGCGCTTGTGCCCGGTGAAAGGTCCACACGACTTTGCCAACCGTAACGAATCACCTTCACTCTCATTCCTCAGCCAACTCAACAAGTGAGCATTTGTGCATTGCAGAAATACCTGGCAAAAATATCAAACCATCAGTCTGTGAAATTCTTTTCTGTGATTGTCCACCTTTCCGTTGTTGGTCATTCGTTACTCTGCTGGTAGTTAAAGAGGTTTACTTGGATAGCTATCGACAGTAATGGCGCATGGTGGAACAAGTTTTCGGCGCAGAGAAAAGAGTACAAATGAAAATAGACATCCAAAAGCAATCAACCCTCACAAATATATGAAGAGAATATATTATGGCTACTAATCGAATGAGTGAGAACAGTATTATCGCACTAAGAAAGTTGTTTGAGCCTCTAACGTCCCAGTTTTGTCAAAGGCCAGGCGTATTATCCTCTCCTGCGATGAGCGATGTCAGCCAAAAGGGAGCAACGAACTAGAAGCATAAGTTGCCCATTTTCTGCGGAGAATAATTCATGCTGATATGAAGGAAGTCCGCACAGTGAGTAAGAGTAAGGCGCGACTGATGTAATCGGCGACGACGTCGTAAACCACACATCACGCCATGAAGCAACGCGATTCAAGCCTCATAGGAATTTAGCTTCAATGGCTTTCTAGAAGTATTTCTTGAAACTAAAAGCCGCCGGAGAGTAGAAGCCAAGTAAATCAATCAAGATTCTATGCGGCATTGTGTATAAGGTAGTTAAGAGTACAAACAGCTTATCGCACACGCTTTGCAATAGCGCATTGTGAATGGCTGGCGCCCCTCGTTCCTTGTGCGTTCATCGATAGAAACATTTGGCGATTCGATTGCCCGAAACCGCCTAGTAGCATAGACTGTACCGGGGGGCCGCGATCTGTCATTTGTCCACAAGGTCTGTTGGATCCTCCAATATGCAGAGCAGCCAGCCTTCTCCCATGTCGCCAAGAAGTAGGACACCCAAAAAGGGCACCGGATATTACGGTATAATAGTGAGGGGTAAACCCGCCTCATCTGCTGAAGAATCTTGTGGTCTCTTCGTGACTTGCAGTATCTGAGAGTGACATTGACCATTCAATCACCTACACAATGCAGGCTACAGACGAGGGCAACCCGACCGCCGCCAGCTCTCCGCCAACAGAGGCCACCGCTGCTTCTCCTGCAGCTGCCATTGAACCTGCACCAGTCGCAGCCCAGCCGGTACGATTATAAGTCTCCTGTTCCCAACGATATCTGTGATAGTCGCGATCACGAACTTGCACGCAAGACAGAGATGTGAGTTATGGCCACTTTGCCGATGCTACTCGGGCTTCTAGAATCCTCAACCTGCCGCAGATGATGACGAAGACTCACTGGCCGGCTCGGAAAGGTACAAGACACCACTCTATTCCGCCGCCGGGGCTAACTCAAACAACGCAGCGTCGCCACAGAGTCGACTGCCTCGCTAGCGGCAAGCATTACCGAGTATCGGAAGATCCATGGCCGCACTTACACACAGAAGACCGACTACTGGGGGCCTAATGACGAGCAGCAGAATGAGGGTCTAGAGCTTGCGTGCGTAAACCCACAATTCTTTCAGACGTTGGTTTAATAACACTCGCACCTTTTACAGGCACTACTGGGAAACTCTGTTGCTGGATGATAGGCTATTTCTTTCGCCTTTGCCAGAGAATCCCGGAGTAAGTAATGTTGAATAGTTTGCCCCAGATGGGTTGCAGTACTGATGAACGAGACAGAAAGTTCTCGACCTAGGCACCGGGACCGGCATCTGGGCCATGTAAGACGTTTTCCCCTCGAGCTTCTTAGGACGTTCGTCTCTGACCGCTGCCATTTAAGTGACTTTGCCGACGAGTTCCCCACGTCTGACGTGACGGGCGTTGATATTTCACCCATCCAGCCAGGCTGGGTGCCTCCCAACTGCAAGTTCCAGATAGACGATGTCGAGCAACCGTGGACCTGGTCTCCCGACTTCGACTTCATTCACCTGCGTCACATGGAAGCTTGCATTTCCGATTGGCCAGCATTTTACAAGCAGATCTACGATCACCTCAACCCTGGCGGCTACTTTGAAATCAAGGATTTCGATATCGAGTTCCGCTCGCAAACGAACCCCGACTTGCCGGAAGACCACATTTACCGCCGATGGGGTAAACTCTTCTTTGAAGCCGCCAACAAACTCGGCAAGTCGATGGACCAGTCTCGAGGAGGGCACAAGATTGCCAACGCACTCAGAGAAGCTGGGTTCGTCGACGTCGTCGAGAAGACATGGCCTGTGCCGATCGGAGGTTGGCCTAAGGACCCCATTCTTAGAGAGATTGGCATATGCAACTTGGAGTTTCATGATCAGTCCCTCGAAGGATTCTCAATGTTTCTGTTGACACAGGTGATGGGATGGGAGGGCATTCCTGCCAGAGTGTTCGTCGCCGAAGCGCGGAAAGCGCTCAAGGACCCTGAGCTTCAGACCGTGATATACTTGTGAGTTTTCCGCGAGGATTGAAATGTGGAGGTGCTCACCAAAACCAGGCAAAACGTTTATGGACGCAAGCCCGAGACTGCGGTATAGTTGACGGAGAAGGAACTTGCTGGGTTAATGTGGCCTGTAGCCGTGGCTCATCGAAACCTTGACGATTTTGGCGTTGGATGGATCCAGCCTTAGGGGGACTCAACAGAGTAGAGTATTTATAGACGGCGGCCTAGAAAAACCAACGTTGGTATACTCTCTTCTTTCTCATATTACTCAAAGTGGAAGACATTCACACACTCAACCATGGATTACAAAACGCGACTTCGTTTATTAAACATGTCGATCCGAGCGGCGGCGGCCCCGACATTCCCTCGGTTTCAAGACTTTCCTTGCGAGATACGTTTGATGATATGGCGCGAGTTCTTCCTCGAGCCAAGATTCTTTCGGTCCGTTTGTAAAATGCTCCAAGCGTGGACCAGTGGTCACAGCTATGATTTGCGTTGGACGCTAGTCCACCATGGATGCTCGAGAACATACCACACTTCTATCGACACGCAAATCAACAAAGAATCGACAGAGGTGGCCCGCAAGATCCGTCCAAAGTCTTGCTTCCCCATCTTTTCGCCCGAAATCGGGCTTCGGGGACTAGAAATGCGGTGGGACTCACATCCCATGTACTTCCACGTCAACTGGGACGTCGACTTTATCAGTCTCGATATCGCTGACGCGGGACTTCAAGTGACACCCTCCTCCGAGTGCTTGTTGTGGTACAGCAAAGTTCGAAATCTATCGCTGGGGCCGTTTCGACAAGGTGGCAGTACGAAGCCGTTTGACTGCCTTTCACAAGAAAACGAGTGGTTGTGGAAGCGACGTTCCCTGTTCCCTAATCTCAAGAGCATCATCCACTGCCAGGTCCCTTTTTGGGCGCCTTGGCACAACAGCGCTTATTATTTCCAAACAAGATATTTCTTACGACATTCACAAAAGATTCCTCCGCAATGGAAAGATGTGGCGTATAAGGTTTGCGTTTCTGAGCCCGTGGACAGTTCCGGATGCAACGCAGCCTCGATGGACAGATTTTCTCGAGCAGCTGCGCGCGGAAGGTTGGTACCTTGATTTGGACTATTTACAGGACGAAGCTGAGGGAGCAAAACATATTTTTGAGGGATTAATGGAACCTTGAGATCTAGCAGTGCAAGGACGGTAAACATCAACATCCAGCGAGAGTCTTGGTTGGGTTTGCGGGATATTTCAAGTCGGGTTCAAATTTGTTCACTCTTCATATTTCCCGACATTAGACCATGCCTCCAGGCGTATGTATACGGGTTTACTAATCGAAATAAAATGGAGCGGTTTTCCAATGCATTTGATCTTTACCACGTGGGCGGAAGTGCTACAGCAGGAATGAAAAAGGACGAAAAGGGAAAAGAAAACCACAAAAAGCCCGGATTGAACTCTACGAGGGTTTCTCGCAGCTTCCGTGGGATTCCAGGCAGACAAGGCGGGTGTCGTGTTCTCAGCACCTTGACGGCCAACGATTCCCAGGCGTCGAGAACATGTTTGTCTCTCCTGCGCCACAACGGCGGCTGCCTAGTTCTCAGTGTACAAGGGTTATCGACATGAATTCCTGGGCCTGGACTCGACTGCTAGTAGATCAGGATAATGAGTTCAAATTCTGACGCGATGCATCAGCTTTTATACGAAGATCTAGCACGATAGCATCAGCACAGAACAGAGCAACTGAAATTGGACCGCTGCAATTGAGGAGACCAAAGCGTCCACGAAGTCACCAATGCCGGTCGCCGGAAGGATGTTTAGTTGCGAGATAATCCCAAGCTTATTTCTACTGATCACTGTGAGCCAAAAAAACATACCTTGATCAGCGTATTTAACACGCCTCCCAGAGCCACCACAGGTCTTTCCCTCTAGACCGAAGACTTCAAAAAAAACAGCCTTTCATGAAACGGAACATCGTTAAAAGTTCCGTCCATCTGAGCAACGGTGCGCCTAGATTCTGAGGGCACCTGCCAGATGCCCCGGAGAGACTTCTGGGATGTAACCACTTACGTATCTGTCGGAGAGCACGCAGCAAGGACAAGAACACCGCAACCAGAGACCGAGGGTGCCTTCGTCTAATTTTAGTACTACAAATGAAAAGCCGGTCAAGTTCACCAACTATTTCGACGGCTACGCTGTCGAAGCACGGACACACACGCCAACATGAATTAAGTCCGATGAGATTGAAGAGATATCAAACTAATTGGGGTATATGCCAGGATCCCAAGATCCTCATTCTCAATCGCCAATGCAATGATAACGCCCCGCAACCCGAATCGCTTGCTCGCTTACTTCATATCGCTCACTCGCTAGTTTCATACCATCTCCGTAGCGTCAACAGGCTTCTGCGGCGTCTTCCTCTCCGACGACACCCGATCAAGTGATATCCTGTCATCATCCCCATCCTTGTAATCAAACGGCGCGTCGTTCTTCAGCGGCCAGTTCCGCGTCGTCGTCGCCGTCATTGGCACCAGACCATCATCTTCTGGAACGTCCTTGACAGCCTGTCGCCCGAAGCTCTTACGCCGCGCGGACTTGGGCACCGTGGGCGGCAGGTTCGTCATAGCGGCGGCCCTGTCGAACACGGTGGGCGAGTTGGGCTCATCGTCATTCATCGCGAACCGCTTGGAAATTCTGGGAGCGACATGTCTCATGAACGCCTTCAGGAAGGGCAGGCAGGTGCAGATGATGCCGACGTTGGCCTCGACCACGCTGTAAGAGCCAAGTTAGCCACGGGACTCGATGAGTAAAAAATGGGTACGTACCACCAAATGATGCTGATCGATGCGGTCCAAGTAAAGTCAGAGTTGTTGAAGCCTATCGGGATCATAACCATTCGGACGATGCTCGGTCCGAGAACACTAATAGGCACAACCAGTCAGCACTCGTTCCTCAATCTAACCTCAGTAGACGCGGAGCTTCGGACTTACAATCCACCGGCCATCAAGAAAATCGTCATCTCAATCTTCTTGACCAGCCGTAGAGACAATGGCGAGAGAATCCAGATGGGAAGAAGCAAGATTGCGAGATCTGTGGCGACATTGCACACAGAGAGCATCAACCACCACATCGCCCGGTCGACGCAGGTTCCCGGCGTCTCGGGCTCCCAGATCTTGGCCATTGGCGTGCAAAGGTAGACCCATCCGAGAGCACCAGCGACAGAGTAACCTATCGTGGCGAACATGACGAGGTAGACTGTTGTTCGAACCATTGGTTTGAGCGGAAAGCGGAGGTAAAAGACTAATATCGACGCTTTCGTGAAGAGAATCGAGAGGCTGTAGGCCGCCAGATCGGTCATGCTCAGCTTGTGGAAGGCGACGGCGTCCGCCCTGGACACGTCCCAGATGTGGTGTCCCGCTCCATTGCGTGTCTCGTAGACCTGGATGACGGAGTATGCGGTGGCAAAGACCAAGGCAACGAAGATGAGATCGTCGTCGAGCTGGTGGCGGTGAATCACGACGCGGACGGTGTACAGACGAATGCCACAGAAGATGATCGCCAAGAAGTTTAGCAGAATCGCTACGACGAGAACCTGTGGCACGAGGGACTCTGAAGGGTTTTCGAAGTTCGAAGTCACCCCCGGTGGGGGCGGCGCAGCGCTGATGAGCTCGTCCTCACTCATTGCTGCCTTGTCATGTTGAACCGGTTTGGAGATTAGTAGGTGAAGGGTTTGTCGGTTGTCAAGAACGGCGTGACTTGCAGGGACGAAGGATCGAAAAAGGCGTCCGTGGATATTTACCAACCCTGAATCGCGTCTTCGGGTCTGAGATCTTGGGATCCTCTCCCCTGTTGTCACGGAGCCCCGTGAGAGCTTTGAAACGTTGATGGTTGTTTAGTCGCACTGACTGGTTCGACATCCATCATTCGACCTACTAGTCACGTTTCCCCATCGGCAAATGCTACCAATCGTCGCTTCACCCTGGAAGCTTATCCGGCTTAAGCCTGGGGTTGTCGCGGTTCCGGCAGCCAAGCTTCGTTTTCCAAGGGGGGAGGCGCGGCGAGTTTGGTGTTTCGGGAAACGGCAGGCAAGCGGTCGGCATCTTGCTACGGTTCCTGAATCTAGTTGCCCCTTGTGCCTAGATGGCCCTGAAGATCTTCCCCCTCGCCAAGTGCTTGGTTGGATTAAGCTTGAGTCTAGGGCCCGCGAAAGAAGCATCGGGAGGTGTTTCCGACTATCCTAACTGGACGCTAGCGCGGGAGGGGAACAGCCGCAGAAGGGAGATGGTGCGGCGGGCAATGTTTGTTTCCAAAGCATAAACACACGGCGTGATAGAAATAAAGAGCGAGAACATCGCGATGTGCCGCGCTAGCCATCTGAGTTTTGCCGCGGAGGGGAGCGTCGCGATAGGTTGGGTAGCTTCCGTCGGCACGTTGTCAACGGTGGGAAGTGGGAGCGATAGAGATTTAGACTCCCGCCGGCGACTTATCAAGCTTTCAAGGCGGATCAAGGGCCTGCGTCGAGATCCAGAGCGTAGCGTGGCCGATCACGTTGGAGGATGGTGGCGAAGCGAATCGTGTCGATGTTTCCCGCTTCGGAAGATTTCTGATACAATTCGTCGAGCATCCATCCCGGACCTAATGCACATCGACCCAAAGCTTAACCTAACTTCGGGCGGTAGGAGCATCAGCCCAGCCAACAAACTTCCACGGGCCCTCACCCACTACACAATTCTCCGGCTGGCAGTGGTTCTGCCGTTGGGACGGCGGCGAGAAGGGGCGGAGGAACTCAGCTCGAAGGCGAAGTGTTGATGTGCAGGCTGGTGATTGGTGGTGTCGCTTCGCGGACCAACCAGATAAGTCAAGATCGACGAGTCGTCCCAAGATAGACATTAGGAAAATGTAAGCAGGAAACGATATCGATGGGTCGGGTGATGGGAATTTCCAGCATTCGCAGCAATTTTGCCTTCAGAGTTGGCTCAGCCGCTCTTGGAAATTTCGATAAACACCTCCAAACGGCACATCGCCAACAGGAGGGACGGACTCTCGGCCCTTCGTCCAACAGCCGATGACAAGGGATGACGTCCGGTGGCATGGGCCGACGGTAGTCGAAGCCGATATGTTGACGGTTTCAGACCAAACTTCGAGTTCATGTCACGGGTTGCGGGGAGAGCAGTCTCAGCCGAACGAAGCGGTGCGCGCACGGTACTTGGACTTCGGCACATCCTGATGTCGACATTGACGGGTGCTGTCATCTGTCTGAGCGCTCGTCTTATCCCGCCAGATCGGAGTGGGAGATCAGCACGCAAGACTGACATGTCAAAGCCGTCGATATGGTCTGCGATATAGCTCCTGTGCATCGAATTCTTGCAATGCACCGGGCACGCGTTTCTTGCAAGAAAACGTTGTTGACACTCCCAAAATAACAGAGTGTGGCCGGTAGGTTCGTCTTTCGTCAACAGCCGCTCCGTGTCCGGTGGCTTGGCCGGGCCCCGATTGGCATACTCGGCGTGGGGCGCGGATGCAGTGCTAGGGAGCACAGGGCCCCCGTTCCTGCAGGAGACTTTGGAGAAAGAAGAAGGTCGTGATAAGGTTACATTGCCCACGGGGCGTGCTAAGCCCAAATGTGAAGTTGGCTGTGAATCGGCTCATCCCGACACGAGAAAAGGGAACGGTGGAGCCGACGTCGGCTTCTTGGTCGAGGGGTGTCTTAAATGAACTGCAGATAGGAGCATTCGGAACCGCGTCCGTCGTGCTCGGTGTAGACTTATTGCTGTAACGTGACGTGCTTGTTTACCGTCTTGAGCGACCTGCAAGGCGCAGATAGGAGCAAGATTGCTTTGCCAAGGTGCTTAATGAACGCCCTTGTCGGCCGCCCATGCTAATAGGGTCGCAGCGCCGAAATACGAACAACGACATTGCATTGCCCTGCATTGCCTAATGCACCAACTCGCCGGTCGCGCGCTGGATATCGAAATTGGGCTGCCGTGATATGAATCGCGGAAGATGTGATGCTGTTGTATATAACACGATGACTCCACGAGGAGATGCAGTGAGCGTTCCTCATCGCCAGGTCTCCTTGTGATCCGCGTTTTGTTGTCGGTTGTAGTCCCAAGATGCATCTATCGCGTCTCCTTCTCGCGGTCTCCGGCGTGACCGGGGCCGTCGCCCTCCGTGACCACCCCTTGATGCGCCGGGCCGATGACAACGCCCCGGAGACGGCCGTGAACAAGACCACGGTTGAGCCGAAGCGCTTCATCGTCGAGTTTAATCAGGTGTGTTATGTCCGTGCCTCGTAACCCAGACAACAACCGCTCACACCATCCAGGGAGCTGATGCCTCCGCCGTTGCCGACAACATCGCCAATCAGCACGGCGCAAAGGTGCTTCGGGTATTCAAGAGTGACGTCTTTACCGGCGCGGCTGTCGAGACCGATGTCGAGAACATCGACTCGCTGCAGGCGCTTGAGCCTATCAAACAGGCGTGGCAGGGACGAAAGTACAAGCTGGCGCCCAGCGCGCCTCTGGCGTCCTTCAGCGAGAATGCGACGGCCATCGGCTATGATGTCCACCACATGACGGGTGTCGACAAGTTGCATGCTGCCGGTGTTCTGGGCAAGGGCGCCAAGGTTGCTGTGGTCGATACCGGTATCTGGTACACCCATGAGGCTGTGAGTGACGATCGAACGTCGGAGATCTAGAAGTTGTCTGACACCCTTCAGCTTGGTGGTGGCTTCGGCGATGGCTTCAAAGTTGCGGGAGGGTATGACTTTGTGGGTGACGGAAGTAAGACCCTCTGATCGGAGTAGTTCCTTCGGATCTTGAGATTGACTCGGTTCTCAGCATGGCCAAATGAGGGCGAGGTCAAGAACCCAGACGCCGACCCCTTGGACCAACAAGGTCACGGAACACACGTCGCCGGTATTATCGCCGGCAATAGCAGCATGTAGGTTGACGCGAGAGATGCCCTCCGCAACCAGCGCGGACCGATTCCTGACACCCTTCAGCCTTACTGGGGTTGCTCCCGAAGCCACGTTGTATGCATACAAGGTGTTTGGCAGCGTCGATGGGACGGACGAGGACACCCTCATCGAGGCTTTCCTCACGGCGTATGACGCCGGTGTAAGTAGCCTAAGGTTTCGGCGATCGGCTTCTGCTGACAGACTTCCAGGTCGACATCATCACTTCGTCTATCGGCGGCATCAGTGGTTTTCCGGATAACGCTTGGGCCGTTGTAGCCTCGAGGCTTGTCGACAAGGGTGTTGCTGTCACGATCTCCGCAGGCAACGACGGCCAGGCAGGTGCATTCGCTGCCAGCAGTGGATCATCTGGCGAGCATGTTGTTGCAGTTGCGTCAGTTGAGGCCGATGTGTTGGCATCGTCGTCTTTCAGGGGCGTCTTCAATTTGGACGGGCAGTCCAACGAGACTCGTATCGCCTACCGAGCTGTAGAGGACTGGTACCCTTCTGATGTGAAGGACTGGCCTATTGTGCCCCTGAGCCTCAACACCAGCACGGCCGATGAGGCATGTAATACTCTCCCGCCTGGCACTCCTGATCTGACTGGCGTTGTTGTATTGGTGCGCCGAGGAGGCTGCAACTTCGATCAGAAGCAGCGCAACCTCGCTCCTTTCAATGCCTCCCACATTATTTTTTACAGTAACGACATGCCTTTGGTGAGGCCTACCACTGAGGACACCAGCAGTCTAATTGCCATGGTCGAAGCTGGTGTTGGTGCTGCCATCATCGGCACCATCAAGGCTGGCGGAAACGTCACGGCTGACTTCACTGAGCGCCCCATCTTCAACATTGTTGGTATCAAGAACGAGGAGAACGGCGGTGTTGCCAGCTCCTTCACTTCCATTGGTGCCACCAATGATCTGTTCATCAAAGCTGACGTCGCGGCGCCCGGCGGTCAAATTCTCAGCTCCTATGTTGGGGGCGGTTACTCCATTCTCAGCGGGACGAGTATGTCATGCCCGTATGTTGCCGGAGTCGCTGCCCTGTATGTCAGCAAGTTCGGTGGTCGCAGTGTCCACGGTCCTGAATGGGCGAAGAGTCTTGCGATGCGCATGATCTCTTCCGGCGAAGCCATCAAGTGGGACGATGGAGCGCTGGAGAACAACGAATATCCCTTCTATGCTTCTGTCGCCCAAGTCGGCACTGGCCTCATCAACGCCAGCAAGGTGCTTGATTATGAGACCACACTTTCGTTTGCCAAGTTCGCTCTGAACGACACCCATAACTTCAGCCGATACCACTCCGTCGAAATCACCAACTCTGGAACCGAGCCGGTGACCTACAATTTTGAGCAGCAAGAGTTTGGCGGCATGAACACCGTCAACCTGGATCCGACCGCCTGGGGAACTCCCAAGATCGCGTGGGGTGAGGAGGTCTTGGCCGCGCCACAGAAAATGACCCCTCAGATCTCCTTCCCTGGCGCCGTCACCATCCAGCCAGGAGAGACCAAGACCACCCAGTTCAACTTCAAGTACCCCGAAAGCCAGGATCTCGACCCCGCCAAACTCCCCTTGTACAGTGGAAAGGTTTTGATCAAGGGTAGCAACGGCGAGACGCTCGGCGTCCCGTACATGGGACTGGCTGCTGACCTGCACAAGGACATCGGCATCATGTTCCAGTACCCGGTCGGGTGGCCACAGATGACATCCACCCGAAGTGACATTCCCATCGCTCAGAAGTCCAACTTCACCTTCAACCTCGACCCCGAAGTTCAGGATTTCCCCAACGTGTACACCCGTGCCCAGTATGCCACGCGAGAGTTGAGATGGGACATCTTTGAGGAGTCATGGACTGAACGGGATTGGAAGTACCCTCCGGTGGTCGGCGAGGCAGGCTTCGTGGGAGCTGCGACAAGCTGGTCGAAGGCGCTGGGCAAGAACTACATCGATCCCAGTGTCGATGACCCCAACGACCTCATCACCCTTCCCATGCGTGACGTGCCTAGAGACATCGTAGGTTTATACGGAACAGAGCTGTGGTGGCTCGGACGATTGGCGAACGGCACTCAAATCGCGCCGGGCAAGTACAAGATGCGGTTTGCTGCTCTTTTCCCGTTCGGAAATCCAGAAGCCTCAGACAACTGGGACGTCTTCGAGACCCCGGCTTTTGAGGTTCTGCCATTGGAGAGTTGAGTAGACGGTGACAGTTGATGATAAGAGTTTCTTCCATAATGTCTTAATGTAATAAGAGGACTCGCACCTTGCATAAATTTCCAGAAGATTCGATTCATGCTTTGTGTCGATCGTTGACAGGAATGCCGCAAGTTCTCTGGTATCCCACACTGACATATGAACGTTGAGTAGCGACGCTGGACGAAGAATCCGATGTATGTTCTTCATTGGTATTTTGAGGTTAGCGCATCAAGAAGAGATGTCACAAACGGGAGAAATGACTGAAATGGATTGCATCAAATATGGTGATCTCATGATGGGTATTAGATTTCAATCAGCGCGGAGGCGTCATCTTAGCAGACGACCGCCTCCTTACTTGGTATAAATAACAATAAATGGCAGCGACCCTAGGCTAGGGCAGGATGGGGTATCTATGATATTGTAGTCAGACGACAGGTCAGATCTTCTCTGTTCGGCCCCCGACATCGTGGGTCTGCTCGGCCAAGAAGACTTCATCTTGGGTAAGCTGGTACTTGGCCGACTTGCGGGCCGAGATGCGCTTCTGGAACATGACATCCATCTCACCGAACGTACGGCCCTTGGTCTCGAACAGACGGAAGTATCCCCAGATGAGAGTGAGAGTCGCGAGAACAGCCCAGAAGAATGCCTGGTACCGAATTAGTTCATGGTACGACGAAGAACGGGGTTTTTGATAACTTACAGTCTTTCCCTTCAAGTTCCAGTCACCGGGCGCAAGCATCTTCGGTTGAATCAGGCCACCGCAAATGACGTTGCCGACGTAATATGTGCTGCGAGCCAGCACGACAGTTTGGGTACGGAGACGTGTAGATCCGACCTCGGACACGAGCGTGTAGACGATGGGGCCGACGGACATGGAGTAGGCACCGAGCCAGACGATACAGAGAAGGGACTGCGCCCAGATGATGCCTCCCTTCTGATTGGGGGCGACGGACAAGAAGCCGATGATCCAGAGGATGAGAACGAGGAAAGCAAAGCCGGCGAGCCAGATGGTGCGACGACCAAGCTTGTAAATGTAGAACCACGAGATAATGGTACCAATGAAGGCAATGCCGGTGCCTCCCAAGCTGATACCGTACGAGGCGTCCTCTCCAATACCAGTCTGTTGGAAGAAGAAGGAGCCAGAGTAACAGAGCGCGCCACCGTTGGTGATTTGGGACATGAAAGCCATACAGGCGATCTCGGTACGTCGCAGGTTTGTGCCCTTGAAACAGTCGAACAAGCTGGCGCCCTCCTGCTCCTGGATCTCGAGCTTGTTGGTGTGGACCATCATAGCAATCGTGTTCTCATGGTTGAGGTTGTGCTCCGGCTCCGATAGTCGCTCCAGAGACTTCTTGGCTTGCTCGAGCTTACCGGCGCGCACCAGATGCCAGGGAGACTCAGGCGCCAAGTACGCGGCGATTGCCAGAGGGATGGGCCAGATCCATTGGATCGCGAAGGGGATCTTGTAGCTCCACTCATCAGTTCGGTTGACGAGACCCTTGAGAACACCGGCAGAAATGAACTGGCCGATGCACCAGCACAGGTTGACGTATGAGGTGAGGTAACCACGAATGGCCAGTGGCGTGACCTCAGCAGCGTAGGCTGGACCAGTGGTAGCAAAGACACCCCAGGGGACGTTGCACAGAACCTGGCCCACCAACTGCACCTCGATGTTGTGAGCGAAGAAGACGACGAAGACGAAAGCGCTGAGCCAGAAAAGTGATCCGATGAGAATCCAGCGGTGACCGATCTTGGGGGTGAGGTATCCGTTGAGCAAAGCGCCGATAATGTTGGCCAAGGCACCGAGACAGTTGAAGCGCTGCTGCCACATGGAGGAGATCTGGTATCCGTGCTCGTCATCGAGGAATTCACCGTACTTCAATCGGAATGCTGGGTAACCGTAGAAAGAGCTGAGCAGAGTAACATCGTAGCCCTCCATGATGACGGTGGTTGAGATGACTGGCGGTGGTGTTAGTTCTTGCGCCAACAACTCTGAATGAGACGCGGAGACTCACGAATGGACCAGAAGGCGGCGCGCTTGTAAGTCCTCAGACCCTCCCAGACGCCGAAGCTGTGTTCGACGTCGGTAGCCTGAGCGGCTTCGGAGTTGAGGACCTTGTCATCGAGGGCGACATCGTTGTACTGGCTGATGTGGGGAGCGCCCTTCTCCATGTGGATGGCGTCGTGCGGCTGGGGGGCCGTGTTGATGTCGCGAGACATGGCTGCTGGATTGTCCCGGTTGCTTGAAGATGTTGGCGGTTGGCAAGCTCCTGGAGCAGAGTCGTATCGAGAAGAGAAGGCCGATCAGAGGTTGAGCTGGGGGAGGGGCGATTGGGGTATTTAAAAGTCGCGTTGAGTCGAGATCAACGCTGGTCCCAGACGGCCGGCTTCTCGCGCGTCTCATACCACGGTTGCAGAATGTATGGTAGCAACAGAGCAGCAGCAGCAGCATCAGCATGGGATGGAATTGCAACCACCCGATCCCCATCCCCATGGAGAGGATACTCGCTTCCCCAAACTTGGCCCCTTGCCAGCCATTCCCCAATCAGACGAGTTAGGGAATCCATGACTGTGCCGTGCCAGAAAACTATGCCGCTTGGGCCCAAGTCAGGCCGTACTCACGGGACCGGCAACAGAAAGGCAGGCCATGTGCAAACCGCAACCCGCAGTCGAGTGGAAAGGCGATCGGGGCCCCGGGGGCCTAGCGGCGGGATTGACGGTCTTGGAGGGCCATGACTGGTTGCAGAGGCCGGAGGGAGACAACTGCGGAGGAGGTCGAAGGGGGTTGGCGAGGTCTGAGTGGCCAGACAAAGGCGGAGGAGCCAACGGTAGGCGGGGAGGGGAGAGAACGGCAACGGTACGAGGCCGAGGGGCTCGGCTGCCAGGGCTAGGATTGAGTATTCGTAGGACAGATGCTCGTCTGAGGCGTAGAAAGCGTCGTGGGGAGGCGGCGAGTTAGGAACGTCGGACCGTCGACTCTGGGGGGACTCTTGGGGGACCTTTGGCAGGGGTGACTTGGCTTGGGCTGGTTCGAAGGCGACGCGACGGAGGAGGACGGACGACAGATTCTCGAAGCTTGACTGATCCTGGGCTGGTCTGGGGAATGGTTGCTGGCGATAGAATGGCTCGATTGGTGGAACTTTTCATGGAGATGGAAATTGATGGGATGGCGATGGGGTGTGGCTGGACGAAGGAAGGAACCTAAGGACTGGCCTGGACGTGGATCGGAAGAGATGGGTGGGGCCACTGTCGCTGAGGTGGGACTAGCGTCATCTGAAGAGGATTAGCGCGTATTAAGCGAGGCTCGGGGGATGATGTGGGGTAAGTCTGGGGATTTAGTGGCGTGATGGGCCGCACTGGAGTCTGGAGCCGCTGAGGAGTCGCTGGAGCCAGTGGAAGATGCGCTGAAGTTGGAGAGGTAGGTAGGTTCCCCAACCTGCACCAACACCAACACCACCACACCACCACACCCTCTTCATCATTCATCCCAAACACACCTGCTGTCACCCTCCAACTTCCCCTCAATTTACCCTCTCGGTGCGGAGAGAATGCAGGTCATGATGTTGGCCTGAAAGAGGCAAACAGCCCAGAAATGCAAGAGAATTGGGGGGAGTTGCAGCTGCAAGTTGGTCCTGAAAGATGCTGAAAGGAACCCCTTACCTGTGCCAATTTCCCAAGGTTCAAGCAGCTGTGACGGTACGTACTTAATTACCTCGGAAAGCTTAGGTAACGGGAGTCTGGCTGGACCAGGAGCGGGAGAATCCACTGCCTGCCCGGTCTCTTCCGGTCTGACGAGGAAACAAAACATGAACCAAACACCGACCCTACCCCCGAGAACACCGGACAAGCCGTACGACTGCGACTGCACTGCTGCCTACCAGGCTGCCGATATCCCATTTCTGCTTGCTTCCTCGTGTCCTGACTTCAGACTAGGATCCAGAACACTACCAATCAGTCAATATTGTGGTGCAAACACGAACGTCGAACAGTCCTCATGCATCTATGAACTCAGGATGGCCCAATTTCACCCACCACCCGATCGCCCCAGCGAAGAAGCACCGTCGCCCTGCACGATGTGGTCCAGACAGGGAATAGGCCCTGACCTTCGGCTCCAGACTTCCAACATGCCGCCTACCCCAGCCATTCAAAGGCTCTGCTGCCTCTCGGCGCAGGGCACTTCTGGCGGTGGAGTTCCGCGCGAATCATCGCCCTGTCTTCCCCAACCGGGGGTCTCTCCGCTCGGCCAGCCTCGGCCGAACCTCTTTTCTCAGCTCCTTGCCATCCGGGACGGCCGCTTGGCGTTGGATCCTGTCTCACTTGAATAAGGCAGGGGTTGTAAGCTCACGGCTCGATCCCTCGTGCCTGGCATCGAAGAGAAAGACAGAGAAATTCTGATTGATACTGGTTGGCTGAACATTCTATGCTAGGGCCCTCCAACCCAAGACCTGTCAACGCCGAGTAGCGTCGTTTCCGTCTGCATTTCGCGTCCATCGTGTACCACGGCCCCGGGTTCTGGATGGTACATCGATGCTTCGTCGCTACCACGGCACGTTGCGTTAAGGGTCTACCGTACGGAACATCCGATTGCCCTTCTCGTCGACGGTGTACTGTGTTGGACCGGTTAGACTTCCGCCGGCCAATCAAGCATTGGCGGCAAGTAGACCAATCGCAAATCGTGTCTTTGCAGAGTGGCTTGAGGTTAGTTACTTCATACGCCCGGATACTGGTCACGCGGTGCTTGGGGTCCATGAACCAACAGCAACATCGACGACACGTGAGGGCGGGCGACTTACATCGACGAGAGGCCAAGCAGAAGCCCTGGTCAGGCCATTGGTGTACTCGTGGCAATCTCAAGTGAGTTCGTGCTGCTCAGAGTCCTTCATCTCATCCTCCTGGATCTGCTGTGGGGTTCTCTCTGCCCACTCTTGGGCACGAAGATACTCAACGATGGGTCCGAGACCTAAAAAGGTTTCCTCATCGAGGACATCATCATTCCGAGTCTGGCCATGAGCCTCGCGGGTAGAAAACCCTTCGACATCGGCGTTCTCTGTGACCATCATAGCCGTGCCACCGGTCTGCGTCTGCTCTGCGTGCTCTTCCTTTGGGGGGCTCGCCTCGGATACCTGAGCGTGGATGTCGTCGACGAGCATCGTGTCGTCAAGACCCAGGGTCTGGGCCTGACCTTTTATGTCACTCCGAGTCTCGCCCTGGGCCTCTCCGGTGGAAAACAGCTTGACATAGTTGCTATCCCCAACCACCAACTGCGTGAAGTTGCCCTCCTGCGTATCGGTATACTTCACAAGCTTGAACGCCTTGCGCTCCGACGTAGGACAGAACCCATAGTCATGGTGGTCGCGATCGTGCCAGTGGCAGGGGCAAAATCCGTCAAAGAGCCACGGGCAGTTCTCCTCGACCCAGTCGCCCGGGTCCATCTTTGCCTGCTGCCACATGCACTGGTTGCAAGATGCCTAGACTTGCATACCGGCGCCCCGCATGTTGCGAGGGTCGTTAGCGGGGAAGCGCTCGAACCACCACCGGTGCAGCGGCTGCAGTAGTGCGTCGATGTTGAGGTGTCGGGATGGACGGGGGTGTAGTCATCATCGGAATCGGTGTCTTCTTCCGTCTGCTCTGCATGACCATCGGCGCGGATGTCGTCGGCGGAATTAGCTTCGGTGTAGGGAGTGGTGATATTGCTGCTGGCAATGTCGGTGTCGGCGTCGGGGACCGCCCCCTCCGGGCGCTGGCTTCGGTCGTCCATGGTATCACTCTGAATAATCAGTATCTACTCCAAATATGATGGCATACGCAATACTGACGGTTTGGTACGTCGAAGGTAGTGCTCGAGGGATGTCAAGACAGCGTCGTTTGTTGATGGTGGTGGCATTAGGTTGCTCTCTGATTTTTCAAAGTCCGCAGGAAAGGTAAACAAACCTCCTGGTTGGCCAAGATGGTTTGACGACTAAGCGGCTGTGAGCCATGGCGACAACCAAGTTGCTCTGCTGCACCATGACAGCCGCATTGATCGGCTATAGTCTCCTGCGGCTGTGCGAGGGCGAGACCTCCCAGCTCGGCAGAGATGCAGAACCTACTCAAAGGCGGTGATTCGAAGCCTTCTACAGCATTGAATGCTTTAATCCTCAGTACCAGAAGCTTCATCGTACAAAGAACCGGGATCGAAAGCTGATGAAAGGGTTGACAGAGCTTACGGCGACGGAATACTCTCCAGAGACAACTCGTCTCTGTACTCCCTTCCCTCTGCATCCGCAAAAGGCTTTCGTGGAACGCATTGGGCACAGTCATACTGCTGATACTAGGTAATAGCAAATCACCCACCCTGGTTCTGTATCAAAGCACCTTTCGATACGCATAGGGAGTGAAGTTGGTACATCTTTCTTTTGTCAACTGTACTTCAACTTGTAATATATACATCGAATTACAAAAGCCCCTGGTCAGCGCAACCCTGCTCGATAGAAGCCAGGGTCCTGCGTCCGACGGTGGCGTTGTTCTCCCCGTAGGTCCTCACCTCGCGGTCCTCGGCCGTGTACACAGGCCACCCAATGGCGTCCAGTCCGGCGGTCGAGTCCTTGATGAAGGTCGTCAGGGCGTCCTCCATGACGTGGCTGAGCTCGTACTCGAATGCGGTCGAGTTGCCACGGAAGTCGGCGTGGGTGCCGAAGATCATGGGCAGCTCGCTGCCGTGGTAGGCGCCCATCCACGGGCGCGGCGAGGTGTTGTTGAAGACTGCGGCGTAGAAGAAACGGTAGGTCGTTCTTCCAGCGGCGAGACGCTCGCTGGGGGGTTCGTCAGTTTGATGCTCTGAGGGAGTGAGGGGCGAAGGGGGGCTTACTTGGTGGTCTTGGTGGCCGGGCACCAGAAGTACTGGTACGAGAGCTGGTCGGCAACGGTCTGGTTGGGACCGCTGACGTTGTAGGGGGCGAGGAAGAGGCCTTCGTCGTGGTTGAAGCCGATGATGGCGGGCTGTTCCGCGTCAGTTTCTCACAATCCTTCGTCCCAAATACAGAGGTTAACTTACCAGGTCAGAGAACTCGCCAAGAGCAGCCTTCTCAGTGTAGTTGGCAAACACAACCTTGTTGTCAATCACAGGCGAAAAGCCGATGGACGGCGTGACCCCAGAGTCCTTGTACGTAGCCACAAAGTTCTCCAGCTTCTCAGCGGGGATCTTGCGCATGCACGCCAGCTCCGCCTGCGCAGTGGTCTGGTTGCCGCACCCAAGCTGCTGCGCGACAAAGGTAAAGTTGGACTGGATGTCGTCGTGGCTCATCAGCTGGTCCAGGTGCGCAGTGCCCGAGTCCATGACGAGGCCGCGCACGATGGGGTCCTGCGGGTACGCGAAGCTGTAGTAGTCGACCGCGATGGACCCGGCGGAGTGGCCCCAGAGCGTCATCCGGGAGGCGTCACCGCCGAACTTGGCGATGTTGTCGCGCACCCACTCGATGGCGAAGCGCTGGTCGAGCAGGCCGAGATTCTGCTCCGTCAGGGCGGCGGAGTTGGGGAAGCCGAAGAGCTTCATGCGGTAGTTGAAGGTGACGAAGATGTGCTCCTGCGAGCGCTGGATCCACTTCTGCGGCATCTGGTACGGCACGTCGGTGCCGCCCGTCTCGAAGCCGCCACCGTAGAACCAGATGATCACGGGCAGGCCGGCGTCGGTGCCGTTCGCGGCCGTCTCGCTGCCGGAGACGGCGGGGACGGCGCCGGCGGGGGCCCAGACGCTCGCGGTGAGGCAGTCCTCGTCCATGCCGGCGGCGCCGATCATGAACTCGGGGACGTCGACGCGCTGGATGGCCGGGTGGATGGAGATGTACTGCCAGCACGAGGGGGGCAGGGCGGTGGCGTTGAGGACGGTGGCGTTGGCGAAGGCGTTGCTCGACTGCGGGACGACGTACGGCTGGGGCGGCTCCCAACGGAGGTCGTCGAGGGGCGGCGCGGCGTACGGGATGCCCAGGAACTCGGCGACGTTGGACGCGTCCGGGGCGATGCGGCCCTGGACCGTGAGGCCGTTATCGAGGCGGACGCTGGGGCCTGCGCTCGCGGAGGCAAGGAGGCCGGCGAAGGTCGCCACGAACTTTGCGTTGCACATCATTGGGAGTTGGTTGATGATGCCGGGTGGTGGTTGCACTCTGTTGGCGATCGATGGAGGGGGAGCCGAACCGAACCGCTGGAGTTGAAGAGACAAGAGGCTCTCTCTCCCCGGGTCTTGGCTGCAGACGTCAACGATATATATATCTCATGCTCTTTTTTTTCTCTCACTACTCACTTTTGCCGTCATTCATCAAGGGATTCGCCGGATGTCGGGGGGAAACAGCTTTTCGTGATTATCGACACGGGCATCCCCCTGAGCAGAGGTCCATCGAATGGACCGATGCTCCACCATCACCGCGACTCCGCGGTGCCTATTCGGGAAATCTGGATGTTGCACGGATCGCATCGTCGGAAATTGCTGGGCAGAACCCCACAATCTTCATCGCTGACACCGGCACTTCTCCGCGTGTTGGACGGGCCTCATTGGGTGGTCGAGGCGATGTTTGCTCCTTTTATGGGTTCGGACGAGTCAACCCCCTGGCCGCGGGCATCCACCGAGGGGACCTGTCGATCAGCAATCGGATGTCATCCAAAGGCCTCACTTCGGACGGGAGCATGGCTGGAGGGGTTATTGAATCCACTTTCGCCGTGAGCCGTTGTCGTCAGCCATCTGTCAGCGGATTTTTCGCTTCGAGGTCCGAGATGGGGGCGGTTGAATGGCCATGTTGGAGGCTGTTGGATATGTCTATTGATGGACGTTAGAACTCATGGTGGAATGATGGGACAAGCGAGGTATGATGCCTTCAGCGTAGTAAACGAGCCAATATTCCACATAATGCTGCTCTGATGATGCGTAGGATGATATCCTCTTGAAACTTTCAGATGTTCCTTAGGCGACCAAATTCGTGGAGCAGTGCATGACCAAGTCGCGTCGGATCTTGTGATCTGCCCTTTAATGATGTTTTGGGAAATGAAGAGTAGTTCCCAAGGCGCTGAGAAGTACAAATCAAACTTAGAAGATTGAAACGCGTAAGTCGAACACTCATCGCTCTCGTTGATGGACCTTGGATCTCGCCTGCCTCGATGTATGGTACGTGGTTCGGCCGTCTCGCTGCCTTGATCGTCACCGACTCTTCGAGAAGCCCCCCGGCGCTTATCTTTACGTCGAACTCATCAATGGGTTTTTGACTCAAAGAATTCAATCTTCTCTATGCTTCGTTCCGAGACGGCCCAAACAGTTCTGCTTTCATCGAGTCCATTATCAGTTTGTGTCCCACACCAAGTGTTGTGAAGGAACCCATCTAGAAACCATAAGTGATGCGCCATGGTCCCTCTGAGGTAGTCTTCTCCTTCTACCAGTTTCTCGATAAGTCTGCTAAGTCTCAACTAAAAAGCATTCCCACCAAATATTGGTTCTTCTTTCTTCGACTTGCCCGACCATTCCTTTCAGTCTTTCAGCAATAAGTCAGCCAAGCCATGGGAGTAGAGCATGCACCTTGTGCTTGAGCTGTGACCAGTGATGGGTGGAAGTGTAGGCAGACTCGGGGCACCTACATGATACCAGTGGTCTCAGGATGACCTCTCCATGATGGCCACTTCTCGACCACGCGCCGACCATGCACCAGCACTGGACATCTACGACTAAGCAGAGGGTGAAGCTACCCTTGAGCAGCACCCTCAGTCCGGTCTCTCAAAGAAAATCTCTGCGAGCTGAATATTCTGGAAACCCCTCCTCAAACCCCATCCATTCCGCCGGACAACAGCCAACATGGACCCCCAAGCTTGCCCACCCAGAAGCGCCCTGCTTGCCGCCGTACGTACAATCTCAAGATCTCCCATCGTCGCGACCTAAAAGATGAAACTGACAATGACAGCTGAGGAACGATGGCACCACGGAGGAGCTCCGGGGTATCGGGTATGACGTGGACCTACAGGGGAACTGGTTGGCCAACTCGTTGATCTTCACCGCGGATCGGCTCGAGGGCAACCTCGACAACCTCCCACAGGCCCCCCGCCAGATCCTCGAACGTCACGCCGCTGCGTACACGTCCGTTGTTCCTACCAGGCCTGCCCACGTCCCTGTCGGGCCAGTCCCGAGATCGTCTGGGCAGACTCGCCTCTCCGGTGCCGGCACCTGGGGCAAACCTTACCCAGACCCATGGGTGTTGCCCAGGGGCGGAACTGAAGCCTGGAAGCGCATGCATGGGATGGCCTCCTCGCCTACTCCCACGCCAACTCCCGCCCCCTTGATGACAATGCCGTTTGCAGATTCGTCCGCCATCGCTAGTCCCGGAGTATACCAGGACGACGACGACGACGATGAGGATGAAGACGAAGACGCAGACGGAGAATATGAGGCAGACCACGACTGGTACGCAACATCCGATGATTACGAGCTGTACTAACACTTGCCTAGGTCGCATCTTTCTTCCGGCTTGCCCCCCGCGGTGGTCATAGCTCCGACTCCGGCTCCGACTGCCGCCGGACCTGGTGCCCACTTGCCTGCCAGCCTCATCATGTCGCCGGAATCTACAGCCCCTTCGTCCTTTGTCCCTGTTGGCGAGGAATACCGAGACGACAAGAAGGACGACAAGAAGGACGACAAGAAGGACGACAGAGACGACATTGATGACGAAGATGAGGATGCAGAGGTCGAATACGAGGACGACAAGTGCACACATCTCCCTCTTATTGGTGAGCTGCGCTAACACTTGCCTAGCACACACCTTGCCACGGGCTTGCTTCCTGCCCCCGCGGCCGCTCTTCCTGTTTCCTCTGCCGTCTTTCCTGCCCCGGCCCCGACTCCAGCCTCGGCCCCAGCCCCGAATCCCGGCGTCCCTGCTGCCGCTGCCCCTACCGCCATCCGTCTCACCTCCAACCGTTTCCCTGCTGGCTTCCAGCTCTGGATAACGACATACCGCAAGCGCAACAAACGCTTTCTCGTGGGCCCCAACTACACTGGAGGGCCCATCCAGCTTCCTCCGAAGACCTTCGAGTTCCAGTACACACTCGACGATGACCCGAAACGGCAGGAGGGTTGCCGCTGGTGTGGTTGCAGCAACTGGCTGTGGGACCCTTACTTCTTCATGAGAACAACCAATCCCGACGGCCGCCAGGATACGTGCAACCGATGCGTTTTCCGTTCAGGGACCAAGGAGGCGACACGACACCAGGAGCTCAATGCCTGGTTGGTTATTCGCCAACCAGTCATGTTCTGGTTGACTAACAGCGACCTCTGAGGGCGAGTGCCCACGGCCACAGCTCGGTGAGGGGCATGTGGCAGAAGACCTGGGGAACTTTCCCTAGGCAAGGAGGATGAGAGGCGAAGCCGAGGTACGTTCCTGTCTCTTATTCCTCTCCACCATTATCTACCACTTGGCCACGGGCAAAGGGCTTGGCGAAGATGCCTACTGGGCCATCTACCATGTAGAGGGAAGCATCATCAGCAGATGTGCCATCGACGAGCATAACGCTTGGATGAGCCTGACACAGGATCTGGTCCGGTGTCACGTCCGATCGATATGGGCCGGATGCTATGACCATGCGTCGGGCCCAACCCCTGGCAGCTCTGGGACGGAACACTGGTTCCTGGATCGTGTGGCCGCTGGTCTCGGCCTCCCGGACCGACTCAGGGACTGCCCCGGCTATCTAGATCGTCTGGGGCTTGCCGGCTGCCGTCAGGAAGAGGGGGTTGAAACGCTTTTCGACATGGTGTCGAGTCGGAGATCCAAAGATGACCACTGGATTTGAAGCAGTAACACATCCGATACGAAGCTTTCGCAGGTGCCAAGAAATGCGAGGCCCTAAAGATCAAGAAAATCACAAAAAAAGGATCAGAGAGTTGTCAAAGTACTGTTGGTAAGTCTGTGTTTTCAGTCCACTCCAGTCGGAGCTTGCGTCGTCCCCGCCATTGTCTGATTGTCAAACGGACAGCCTCGACTCAAACCAACCAACGGCAATCAATTGTCTCTGCGGGTGGCCTTCCCTGTCTTGAATTTGATTCCAGCTGCAGCAGCCCCTCGTTCGGCAGTGGGCGGGAATGGGTGGAAAAGGGAAAGACATGCAGGAACACGACGCAAAACTGACTGTTGGCGCTAGGATCAAGACGCTTGCCCCAATCGGAGTCGCCAGCTGGCATCCGGCAGCACCACGTGATCCCGCCGGCCGTTGGAGATGAACGGGTGGGAACGATGCTCCTGCCGTCGTTGCTGCCCAATTGGATGTTTTCAGAAACACTGTGAAGTACGTACCGCCAGATTGGGGCCGAAGGTGGTCCGGGAAATTGGACAAGCTCGCCTATCCTTGTCGCTTTCCCTGCCCAGCGCTCATCTCTTCCTTGCTCGCAGAAGTCTGTTCGCGCAGCCGCCCGACCAGACGACCAGACCCCCCCAGCACTGCTCACTATCGGTTGAAGGGTCCATCTCGTTTCTCTTCTTTGGGGAGTGGAGGACCTGCAACGAGGCCATTCTGGGTGAGTTGGCCACTGTTCTGTTTGTCGTCGTGTCCACGATCATCTTGCAAACGCAGCAGCAGTGTGTACGATTACTGACGGATCCTCGCCATTCATCTGCAGTTTTCCAAACCCGTTTGCCCCCGCAACGACTCGACAGCTTTGTTTCTGTTTCTGTTTGCAACGACACACGCTCAGCACGCGACGTGACATCACTCTAATTACCTTTGCTAGCTCCCGACTCGACTAGAGCAAACGGAACGCCTCCCGCGTCGACTGGCGCACGCGCTAAAACACACGCCTTGCTCCCGAATCCGTGCGTCCAATATTATCCCAAATCCCCTCTCCTTATTACCAGACAATCGACCCCGTCTGACAGCAATTCGCCGAACTTTTCTTCTACATGCTTTCCCAGCAGTAGCAGAAGAACCACATCCGCCGCCGCAATGGACGAGAAGCAGGCGCCTGGGAGGCCTAGCGGGATCCCGAGACTCTCTCGTCTACCCGTGCCCAAGCCTACTCCCGTTGCCAACACCAAGCCGACTCCTGCTGTACGGCCTTCTCCTTCCCGCGATGGCCTCAACTCCGGCCTTCGAAACCCCCGTCTTCGACCCGCTGCCTCGCGAGACCAATTGGCACCGGCTCCTGCTCCTAAGAGGCCAGAGCCCCGGCCTGCCCCGAGGCTGAGACGAGAGATACCACCACCGTTCACGACCACGAGAAAGCCCGAGGCGAGAGCTCCCGTCAGCTCCTTGAAGAGCGTTCGCAGTATCCCACGACTCAACGCGGCGGAACCGGCCGTAACCAAGCCTCCGACACCCCCAGAAGATGCCGAATACGTCGTTGTCTCCCGCCCAGCCAGCTCTTCGGGACGTACGTCCGAACCCTCTGCTTCGACACCAGAGGTGCCGCCTTTGCCCCAAGATTCGAGCTCTCCTCCCGATAACGCCGACCTTGATCTCCCAGACTTCGGTACGCCGAAGTTCAAGCCACGACCATCGCTTGCCGAGAGAACAATGGAGACCCTTTCCCAGCTGCAGTCATCGCCTGCTCTAAGCAAGAAGCCATCCTCCTTCTTTGACCAAGAGGGCGTCCTGCGACCCCGTTCTCGGTCTGGCAGTGGGAACTCGAGGCCCGGCTCAAGTTACACCTCCGACGGCTCTCTGCGCCCAACTTCGCGTCATAGTCGACCAGGCTCAAGCTCCGGCCCCGAAGAGAACCCGTTCGCCGCTCGAGGGCCCATGGCCGCACCCCGACCTCTGGGTGCCATCGAGGGCACACCGTCAAGGCGGGTGTCTGGTATCAGATCTTTGAAGGCACCAACAATGAGGGCCACTCCGCAAGCTTCCCCGTCAGCACGGCCGTCTTCATCAGGGATCCCAGCCTACCAGAGCCCTAGCCCAACGAGAAGTGCAATCGCTATGCCTCCTCCTACAACGACAACTCCGGTGGCTGCGCGTTCTCTGAAGCCTCGAGCATCCGTCAACGGCCTGTACAAGAAGCCTTCCCTCCCAACGTTGAGCCAACAGTCACCAGCGACAGCCGGCTCTCCTTCCCTGAAGCCAGCCCCGAAGCTGAAGTCTGCCAAGTCATATGGTGCTCTCCGAAAGCCTACGCCGACCAAGTCGAGTCTCCCTGCTCCTCCGACGCTAGCTGAGCCTCCTACCAACGAGTTCAGGAAAGCCTCAGCCTCTCTACGCGATCAAATTGCCAAGGCTAAGGCTGCGAAGCGTGCGGCGGATCGTCAAGCTGCGGAGGTCGCTGAGGGCGAAGAAGCCACACCTGCTCCTGCTCCCGTTTCAACGCAGGAATTAGAAGTACCTGATCTACCGAAACCGCTCAAATCCCCAATTGTGCCAGCAGACGAAGGCTTCGACTTTGGCATTGGTGTTGCCATGACCACCGCCCCTGCCCCCTTCGAGACCAGTGACCCTTTCAATACCAAGCGATCGGAGAACGCGACCGGAAAGATCATCCAGCAAAGAATCGGAGCTGGTCGAAGCACCGGAAGGCTCAACATCGCAGCGCTCGGCTTGGAAGAGATCCCCACTGAGGTTCTCAAGATGTACGATATGGAGTCAATGGGCACGTATGACGGCTCATGGGCCGAGAGTGTCGATTTGACAAGATTTGTGGCTGCCGACAACGAGCTGGAGACTATTGCCGACTCTATTTTCCCCGATGTTCCCCCTGAGCAGATGGCCGAAGACGAGGATTCCAGCGGCAACATCTTTGGTGGCCTCGAGGCCATGGATTTGCACGGAAACTCGCTGATTTCCCTGCCGATGGGATTGAGACAGCTTCGCTTGCTTACATCCCTCAACCTGGTAAGTCTTCACGATTCAACTTCATGGATTCCCAGCTAAAATGCAGCAGTCTCAAAACCGACTCGCCAACAACTGCTTGGACGTCATCACCGAGGTCACTGCCCTCCGTGACTTGAAGCTTGCCAACAACCTTTTGTACGGCCCCTTGGACCCCAGCTTCTCCAAGCTTGAGAACCTCGAGATCTTCGACCTTCACGGCAACGAGGTCTCGTCTCTGCCCGATGGAATCGAGAACCTATCCAGACTTCGCATTCTCAACTTGAGCAGCAACAGCTTTGAGTCGCTCCCGTTCACAAGTCTTTCCAAGCTGCCCCTGACGGAACTGCTTGCCCAGAAGAACAAGTTGTCTGGCACCCTCATCGAGGCCGGAGTACAGGCTCTGTCGAACCTCCAGATGCTTGACTTGTCTTCCAATCAGCTTACCTACTTGGTGTCTCCGGGCGCCACCATTAGCCTTCCTTCTGTTCACCAGCTCGTGCTGTCCATGAACCGACTCAAGGAACTACCCGATGTCAGCTCCTGGATCAGTCTCCTGACTCTGACCGCCAACGAGAACGCCATCCCCGAGTTCCCCACAGGTTTCACTAAGCTCGAGAAGCTCAGGAACGTCGACTTTTCCGCGAACGACATCCGCGTGGTTCCGCCCGAGATCAGCAGGATGGACAACTTGACCATGATCCGCCTTAGTGGCAACCCGTTGCGCGACAAGAAGTTCGTCTCTGCTACTACGGAAGAGCTGAAGGATGTTTTGGCGGGCAGACTTGAGCCGCCTCCGCCATACCAGGATGAGAACGCCGAAGCCGCCGCCCCTGATTCGACCGACTTTGACGATATTGCCGACGGGTTCGGGAAACTCACCATCAAGGATGCGCCCCCGTTGCCTCCCGTTCCTACCGACGAGGAAGAGCGCTCGGATGATAACTTCGCCACGCCCCCGACGTCGTCGACTACCTCACCTGCACGTGCTCGTTCCCAGACTCTGTCCAAGGAGACATGGCCTGTCAAGCCGGGAGGCCTTCTGGATCGATCCAACACTCAATCATCCTCACTGCACCCTGTCGTCTGCTCAAAGGTGGCCGCAGACAACAAGGTTCGCGAGGTCCAACTGCACCACAACCTTTTCACTTGCTTCCCGAACTCGCTTTCTTTTTTCGCTGAAACCCTTGGCGCTTTGTCTCTTGCCCACAACCAGCTCGTTGGTGAGACCTATCTGACTGAGGAGCTCGAGTTGCCGTCGCTGCGTGAGCTGAATCTGGTTAGCAACCACATCACCAGCCTCGCCCCGCTGACTACGCACTTGAATGCTCCGCAACTCGAGAAGATGGACGTTTCGCTGAACCGCATCACTGCACTGCCGCCTAACTTGCGACTGGTCTTCCCGCGTCTGGTAGTCCTCTTGATCGCAAACAACCACTTGATCGAGCTGGACCCTGACGCCATCAAGGGCCTCGAGGTTGTTGACGCTGGCAATAACGACATCGCTCACCTCAACCCGAGGATCGGCCTGCTCGCCGGCGCCGGCGGACTGAAGCGTTTGGAAGTCTCCGGCAACCGCTTCAGAGTTCCCAGGTACAGCGTCCTGGAGCGTGGCACGGAGGCGACCTTGCGTTGGCTCAGGGGGCGGGTGCCTGTAGCGGAGATGGCATCCTGGAAGGAGAGCCAAGGTGACTCGGGCAACGGCTCCGACACCAGCTTGGCTGATGTTGACTAGATGGAGATGGCGTCGGATGGTTCGGGGGATTTGCTTTCGGGGTTTGGGGCTTTGTCTTTCTGCTTCTTGCACATACTATTCCTTACCACTTGTGGCGCGCCAAGATACCACATTGTGCTTTGAGCCAACGGAGTTGAGGGATCTTTGTCATCAGTCGTCTGATATCCTGTACTACTACTGTATAATACTTTACTGTTAATATTAACCAGAGAGAAGGGTCTCTCGGAATTATGGTTTTCGTTCCTGGCGATCTAAATTTTCGGTCAAGCGGGCTGTAAAACATGGACACACACCATACCATGGCTGCCTGAACTGCCGAAGAGGTTCTCAATATTGATCTCGCACCCTTTCACCCTTTCCCATCTCCGCAACAAGTCCCATGGTCTCATAAAAGGCTGACTGTCTCCCAGCCCTCTCCTCTCGAACTTCCCTTTAGTGCCATCGATTGATCGACAGTCTACACACTTGCATTGCTTCATTCCAACGCTCGTACAAATCAAAACAACAACTTCGCACTTTGTTTAGACACCTCAAGATCTTGTTCACACAAACACTTCCGTACAGTTATGTCGCCCTACGAGGACCTCAAACGTATCTCGACAGTCACCACCGAGCGTCACCACCGCCATCGACTCAGTGAAGCGCATTCTGATTGGGAAGCCCGCGCTATGCGTTCGAGGCTTTTTTCTGGGACTGAGGCGCAGCAGCCGGACTCTGCGGCCGACGGCGAGGCGTACGTTATCGTTGCCTCACCGGACATGCCTTCTACCGAGGGCGCTCATCACGATCAGGCTTCCGCTGCCACCGATCCATCGCTTTTTTCTGGTACGCAGCAGCCGGATTCTGCCAACAAAGACGACGAGCAGAAGGAGGGTCAACGCGATGATATGGGTCCGCCTTCTGGTCGCGAGGGTCACGGGCAGCGTCTGATCAATCTTGCACCATCAGACTGCGTAGCAAAAGCGCACCGTTCGGCGCTCTCCCGCAACACCAAAAACCTCCCTGATGCCATCGGGGACCAAAAGACGCCTGGCATCGTCGAATTGGCATCGTCCTCGACACAATCTGACCAGTCTCCGCCGGGTGAGACCAACACCACTACAACTACAACTTGCGGGCTGCGCTTTCTCGAGGCGCCGGGAACTTTCCTTCTAGCCCATTTCGTCAGCTTTCTCCTTCTCACCTTTCCCGCCGTGGTCACCGGCCTCGACCCCGTGGACAAGAACCCAGCTACGGTGTGGCAGCTCTGCGCCTTCGTTCCGATTTATGCGGTTTTGGCAACGGTTCGGGTCCGCTGGATGGCGTACATGAGCCCCTACAAAAAGGCCGACAGCACTGAACAGAAGAAGACCACCATGGCGGCTCTTGGGGATTTCGGTACTGCTGTGGCGGGGAAAGCTGCGAATGTGGCGTTTTTGTGCGCTGTCGGAGAGTATTTGGGCAAGCTTGGGATTTTCTTGCCTATGCTGAAATGGGTTGAGCTTTTCGATGGGATGGGGGAGTTGAGGATTGCGGAGAAGTCTGGCTGAAGCGAGGTTGTGTTGTGTCATTTCAAGCGTTGATGGCCGTGGTGGCGGGGTTCATAAGTTAAACAGCGAACATAAATATTAATGCTTTACCCCCCCCTTCACTACAGAAATGAAGATGATGATAAATCACAATTTGATGACTCTCCAGCCTGTATAAGTGGTAGACTTTCTGTGCGCAGTCATCATATCTGTGATAAAAATATGATTCCGTCGGCTTCCTCCGCCACCTTGAAAGCTTCGGATATGATTGGATTTATATAGCTGCCGTCATCTCCATTATACTGTGACAGCTATCCGCCCAGAAGGCCAGAGCATCGGCCCGGATCTAAGTCCATCGTCTTCCAAGCACTGACTGAGTGCGATGACAGGAAGCTGGAATCATTCGGAAGGGAACTGGATTGAACTAGTTGAAGCATTGGTTGATAAACTTGCAATGGAATTAACTTCCTGTGCACACAGAGCCCATGGTAATATTGTAAAGATGTGCGTAGACTTGGATCAGGCTGAGGCTTTTTCATCTGCACGAGTGATCCCACATATGTGCCATTCCAGTAGCTCAGGCTTGGCGACGAGGATGAGAGAACTTCATCAATTCTCAGATTTCCGAAGCTTTGAGGCATAATGGTGTTGACTGTTGGTCTCTTGTGGCGTACCAGCCTCAAGAGACCCGATTCTCGTCGCCAGATCACTCAAAGATTCGCGTGTTGGAAACCATCAACTTCAACCCTTTTCCCAGAGACTGACATGATGTCGCATTCTCATTTCTTGCCGAGTGGTTCCCTTTTCGCAGCTAGAAGCAGCTCAGCAGCCACATCTTGGCTTCTCAGAATGGCGGATTTTCATTCGCTCAATTGCCGCCGATTCACGCCCTGTAAGCCCACCTGGAGTGGCATGGTCCAGCTGCACGAGAATGGGTATTCGTAACGATAAGCACAGGGTCTGCAGACAATAAGAAGACATCGACGGCCCGGTCCTTTCTGCACGCTGACGGATCCTCGGCCCATCAACTCACTTCGACTCTGCGCTAAGTTGCGCGCCCCACTACGAAATGGACGATGCGACCGCGGACTTCTTCCAAATCGCGGGGGAACGCGAATACTGGACAGGATACGACATTGGCAGGGAGTTTGAGCTTGCAAAGATTGATGATCACGACTGGATCCCAGAGGAAACGAGAGCCAAGGTCCGCGAATGGGCAAAGACGAAGACGGTCCCGGTCCGATCCCGCGATGATGGCCAGCAGAAACCTTACAAGCCTATCGTCGATCCGTACGAGATACGAGTCCTCGAGGTCAAGCCGGGTGCCAAGGGGGACAAGCTCCGAGGCTCTCTACACCACTGCTCGGTCGAATACGTCGACCCCGAACCATACAACCAGTCCTTCATCAGGGTGCGCTACGCGCTCTCGATGGACGATCTCGTTACCCCAATCTCCTACACTGCGTTGAGCTATACCTGGGGCGAAAACATCTTCGACGCAATGATCGAATGCGACGGCCATGAAAAAGAAATCACAAAGTCCCTCGAGTCCGCCCTCCTCCATTTCCGCAGAGAAGACGAGTCCGTGATGCTGTGGATTGACCAGATCTGCATTGATCAGGGCAACAACGACGAAAAGGGGCAGCAGATCCCCTTGATGTCAAGAATCTACCAGCGTGCCACCAATACTGCGATCTGGCTCGGCGAAGCGAGCGAAGGCTCCGACGTGGCGATCAAGCTCCTCGAGGAGGTCAACATCCGGTTGCAGTTCACGACGGAAGACGATATTGACCCGAAGGAGTTCAACAGGATCGGCCTGCCGAAGCCTGATTCACAGGATTGGCATGCTCTGTGGAAGTTGCTGTCACGGAAGTGGTTTACGAGGGTATGGATCATACAAGAGGTTATTCTCTCGAGGGACCCATGGGTTGCTTGTGGTGACTCGCTCATCACTTGGGAGAATCTATCCAGTGGATGCATGCAACTTGTCACGACTGGAATCTCGGCGTGGCTGCGGAAGAAGGCTGTTGAGTGGGCAGCTGAGGAAGCTGCCAAGGAAGCTGCAGAAGCGGTTGCGAAGGAGGCTGCAAAGGGGGCTACGAATGACAGTAAAACGGATGATCGAGACATGTGCGAGCTGGCGTGGCAGCTTCACCGGATGAAGCAGTCGGCCCAAGACAGCGATAACACGCTGGTGCCACTGCTCGTGCAGTCCCGTGGGGCGCAGTGCTATAATCCGAGAGACAAGGTGTATGGATTGCTTGGGGTGGTCAACGAGGATCATCAGGCTGCGGTGAAGGTCAGCTACGCGGACGACTTCCCTGCTGCGAAGCTGTACCAGCAAGTCGTGGCGCACCATGTGTCCCAACACCCCACGAGATGGGCACTGCACGAGGTTCTGGCGTGCGTGGACCATGATTCACCCCATTTGCCCTCTTGGGTCCCGGATTGGAGCAGACCTCGTCTGACTGTTGCGTTGGGATACACGACTGCTTCCCAGGGGATTTACAGAGCCCATGGGAGATTTGAGCGGAAGATGTGGATTAGCGAGGATTTTAAAGACTGGGAACGGTTGCCTGTACGAGGCGACGAGATGTCTGTGCAAGGGTTCCTCGTCGATACCATCTCTACAACCAGTCGGGTTATCGAGAACCCTGATCTTGCGTTCGAAAACCCAATGAACGGGAATCAGACTCTGCTCGAGGTCTGGAAATTTGTTTCTGAGATGGTGACTTACCCGCAGCCGCACACGCTATTCTCTGCGCTGTGTCAGACTCTCGTGGCGGGGAGAAACGACACCGGGAAGCAGAAGCGTCCAGAGTCGTACGAAGAGATCATCAGCCTTTTGCTGGACGCGTCAACTGGCATGGAACCTTCCATCACTGGACAGACATATACCGCGCGGCAGAAGAAGCCCAAAGGAAGAGGCAGGCTAGAGTTGGAGAGGCTAAAAGATCACAAAGTGGGATCTGCTGGAGATACGTTCCAGGAGCTTCGCACGGCGATGGTTAATGCGTTGAAGAATCGGAAGTTGGGCGTCACCGAGAAGGGCCATCTGGGATTATTCCTTGGGCATGCTAACGTTGGGGACCAAGTGTACGTGCTGGAGAATTGTCATGTGCCGTTCGTGATGAGGAAGACGAATGGTGGGAGGTTTCGACTTGTGGGGGAGTGCTACGTGCATGGAATGATGCATGGGGAGGCTATCGGCTCAGACGCAAGTTTGACTGAGGTGGTTCTCATTTAGGAAATTCAATGTTCCCAGAGGGATGGAACCAAATGTTCCAGAACTAGCTAAGAAACCAACGAAGAAGACGAGTTGTGCCCGAAGAGTGATGCGACCCGTTTCTGACATCATTCTGCATGCTCTGCTAGACTCAGCTTATGCCATAGCCTCAGCCACAGTCTATGGTCTATTCTGATGATACCTAGCATCTGACAGGCCGTCGAGCAGTAGCGTGTCAACACTCGGGACGCTGAATCACCCGTTCTTGATACAGAATGTCTTGAATCCCACCGATTCGGTTCAGAGTCTAGCCGAGCTTTTGAAGTCGGTGCAATATGTGCGACTCGGGATAATCTTTTGGGTTGCTGAGTGCTTTATTTGAACAGCAATACTACATAAACTATATAGGTTAAAGAGCGTATAAATCATTTCAGAAGTCAGGCTCCCGAGCGCAATCTGTCCACCCAGATAACCACAAGCTACTACCTATCCACTCACCCTTGCATGCATCTTGACCAACTCTGTCAACGATAAAGACCTACGAAAATACCACCCAATACGTTCACGGTTAACATGCGACTACAACTACTTCTCGCCGCGATGGCAACCATTTTGGTGGCTCAAGCTGCAACCGACCTTGACCTTACCAGCCTGAACGCTAGCACAACCTGTAATGATACCTGCAAAGATCTCGTCCTTCGCGTTTCCTCCTGGGAAAAGTCACAAAGTGCTTCGAATTTCTCGTTTTATGAGGTTCCCACCAACTTTTCCGAGACCATGGAGCCAGGCATCGTCTTGTCCCTCGAGCGAACTACGAATCTGACGAACTACACCGTACCAACACCCCTGACAATGTCCCGAATGATGTACACGACTGAAGACCTCAACGGTACCATCATTCCTGCATCGGCGTACATCCTGTGGCCCTCAAGTCCGCTAGAAGTTCCGGATCCTGATTCATCAAGCTCAACCCACTTGCCTCTGGTCGCATGGGCACACGGCACCTCAGGAGGTCTGGCGCCATGCGCACCGAGCAACTACCGAAACCTGCAGTATCACTTTCAAGTTCCATACCTGCTCGCTCTCCAGGGTTACGTCGTGGTAGCGCCGGACTACGCCGGTCTAGGCGTTGCAAAGCTTCCCAACGGCGACAACATCGGCCATCCTTGGGCTGCGGCACCCGCCCATGCTAATGACGTTGCGAACGCCATCATTGCCGCACGCAACGCTTTCCCTGAGTATCTCAGACCCGTTGGGCCGTTTGCCGCCATGGGTCACTCCCAGGGCGCGGCCGCCGTATGGTCGTTCACGGAAAGACTGGTCGACAAGCCAATCCCAGGATACAAAGGCGCCGTTGCCTTCGCCCCGCCAACAGATATCGTCAACCAGACCAGGAAGGCCATAGAAGATCATGAGGCAAACAAGACCCAGTTATGGACCAACACCTTCTTGAGCCTTCAGCCGTCCTTGGCCAAAGGAATAACGGCGGCGTATCCGGCATTCAACTTGTCCGGATTGACCGATGCCGGACGCGACAGATGGGTTAACGTCCAAGAGGCTGTGCAAGGCTGTCTACCCACGAAAGGAGTCTCGGGCCTCGGCATCCCATTAGGTCAGCTAGTCTATCACAACTGGACAGAGCAACCGGCTGTGTTGGACTTCGAGAAGAGGACCGCTGTTGGAAGAAACCCTTTCAAAGGTCCTTTGCTGATTGCAGCCGGGGACAAGGACTCAGTAGTTGACTTCAAAAACATGAAGGTCAACGTGAGGGACACATGCGGAATGCTGCAAGGTGCCGGTGTCCAAGAGAGTCTGGAGTTCTTGGAGTACACTGGGCAAAATCATTTTCCCGTCATCCAAGCGAGTCAAGGTAAGTGGCTCGGCTGGATCAGAGATCGCATTTTCTCTACTGCGAACGTTAGCTACGGATGCAAGTTTGGGACTGTGCGAGGGTTTCAACGCGAAGAGGCTATCAACTCCGTTTTCCCGAACTTTTTGGTCGAAGTGGCAGGCCCTGGTGAAGGCTGGAAGTACAGTCTTTGAATTAATCTTGGCATTGATTAGAAAGGTAATGTAGACGGGTATGGTGATTCTTCATGTGCCTTAGCATCGGGGAAAGCGATTGGTTTTATCAGTTTTCAAGCATTTTTTTTTGAGTTCCTTAACAATGAGTGTTATTACCCGAAACGCCGTCGTAAAGTGGTAGAGACATACGTACGGCTTAGAGATGAACAGCCAAACTTGGACCACTCGTTTCCATTCAAATATACAGCACACTCTCATCGATTGGTAAGACTTTGTCCAAGATAATTTCAACAGCTTATGAGTCCGGCGTGGACAACATTCTCAAAATTGCTCTCGTTTCGCCACAGTTCGTTGACCAGTGTCGTGAAAATCCGAAGGTTCCCAGCTCAGTGGGCGAACCCAACACCGTAGAAAGAAATAAGATAATTCTTGACGTAAACGCAAGACTTAAAAATGACGTGAGTTTCCTATGTGCAGATCAACTCAACTTAAGCAGCTGCACAGCACGGGGTTTGGGATGACCCCGCCAAACGTTGCGGTGCGGGAGAATCAGAGCGCGATCGATCCTGGCTTTAGGTTCGTCCCATTCTCAGGGGTTCCGCTATAAATAAACACAAAAAAGAAACTTGGCTTTTTGCTTAAGTGTAGAAAGTTTCGCTCAGACACTAGAACAACAAACAAGGTTTCAACCGAACTTCTTCTCTTTTTCGTGACTGGTGGAATCGGGTGGGCCTCGTCTTCATCGTACCAGACAGTATTCGGGTGGGAGGACTTGGTTTCAAGAGATTCCCCGGTGGTCTGAGTCAAGGAAAACGGGTCATGCGCCGGCGGTAATTAAGACTAGCATCTCCGTCGAAGGACTTCGCTGCGGCTGATTGATGTATCGTACTCGCGGTCTTTATCTTGTTTGGGAAACGCTTCATTTGCAGATGAATCAGCTCAACTACGTGTGGCCAGACGTAGATCAATCTAGGTAGAATTACGATACCCTCAGCCTACTCTATCGTACACAGCCCTCATACGTGACATTCGGACAGATATCCGTATTACAAATTAGGAACGGATGTCGTGAACATTATTTGAAGAGCCTTAACTCTCTTCACTGAAACTCGTCTAACTTGCGCCGCGCGCGACGCTTAGCCTTCCGCCAAATTGCGAGACCAGCAACGATAAGAAGCCATGTCGCCACTAAGTTTTCATAATATCAGCAAACCGCCATGGTTATATGGTAGAAAACATGACTTACCGATTCCAGCCAAGAAACCGAAAATGGCTTCGCTGGATATGACTATGAAGCTTTGGTTGAGACCGAGATCTGGCGTTGTTGGCTGAAGTCTTCGAGGACCACCATCATTCCTCAAATCAGGGGCAGGAGTTGGAAGAACCAAGGCAGCAGTTACTGTGACAGGCGCAGGGGTGACAGTAACAAACACTGTCGTTCTTGGGCCCTCTGAGCTTGGTACCATCGTAACAGTGACTGGCGGCGGCGGTGGTGGAGGCGGAGGTGGCGGCGGAGGAGGGGGTGGTGGAGGACCAGGCGGTCCTGGAGGTCCAGGGGGACCGGGTGGACCAGGAGGAGGCGGCGGCGGGGGAGGCGGCGGTCCAGGTGGCCCAGGGGGCCCTGGAGGCCCGGGAGGTCCTGGAGGTCCCGGAGGAGGAGGAGGAGGCGGCGGCGGCGGCCCTTCAGGGGGAGGTGGTGGAGGAGGTGGCCCGTCAGGAGGTGGAGGAGGAGGGGTTCCAGGAGGTCGTGGAGTTCGTGGAGTACCTGGAGGTGGAGGAGGGGCATCCGGGGGAGGCGGCGGCGGTCCTCCATCCGGGGGCGGCGGTGGTGGTCCAGGTGAAAGGGGAGGAGGCGGCGGTGGCCCTGAAGGAGGAGGACCTGGCGCGTTTGGCGGCGGAGGGCCAGGTCTCCCAGGAGGAGGCGGTGGTGCCTGTCGTCTCTCGTGTTGAGAACCAACATCGAGAATCAGATTGGACGGAGGCGCCCTCCTGCGGGTCAAAGCAAGACGAGTCATCTTGTTTTCACGTTTCTGTCAATGACAACTGTGAGATATTAGCATCCGTTGCTTGAGATGAAGTCTTTGCTCAATGAGTGTGAAAAGTAAGAAGAACAAGACGAAGCATTTGTCAACTAGCACCCAGGGTGTTGACAGGTCCAAGTAGTGGTCCACGTACCGTGTTACCGACGATCCGACTTGTGCCATCCGTTTCTGGTCAATGCCTTGGTGGTGAAGCGCTCAGCCTCGTCGGCTCTTGAAGCGTTAGCGGGATCGCTAAACACGTCGAGCACAAGACTAGTGAGACGGATGGCGGTTGACGGCAAGGAACCGAGATGGGGATCCTACCATAAATATTGGCCGTTGTTATAAGTCCCCAGTCAGGAAACCTATTCTTGGCGATGCGTGGCGGCACGGAACCCCATCTGATGTTCGGTGCGTCACTTTGGAGATGGTTTCACCTCCTCTGATCCCGAGCCAGTGAGGCTGCAGTGCCTGCAGTAAGTAAAACTCAAACTCGACTTCCGATGAGCGACAGAAACCTTGTTTGAGGCTAAATACAGGATGGACTCTGTTGTGATGCGAGCCTGTCGTACTGGGGCGGGAAGCCGGCGAAGATTTCCTCTGCCATCCCTCTTGCGCAAGCGTGTCACAGTGAGCGGGGAACACTCGATCTAATGCACTCGTTATCGTTGAATTTGAAGACCGAGGGTCGTTTCTGCCCGTGAAGCCCGGACAATTTCCCCATCTGAACTCGGGATTGCGGCACTCGACAGCAAACAACGGGCGATCGACGGTTTCATCAACACTGATTGACAGCTCCGGCACCGATATGGCTCAATGATTCTTCTACATGGTCACGAGCCGACTCGCCGTTTTCATCAGATAGGTCCGGGAGTCTTCCAGACAGCGATCCGGATAACCGACGTGCAGGTATCTATAATTATCGAGGGGTCGGAAAAAGAAAGAGAATATGCTATGGGTGATCTGCATGTCGCTGTCATTGAGCCAGAGCGTTGGCGATCTGTCCTAAGTTAAGTAAGCTTTTGTCCTGCATGTGGTGAACCGGTCTGAATCGTTCCTGTATCGAGGATGAACTAAGTTGATATGACATGACTAGGAGGGTGAGTACCTTTCCTGTCGCCATTGGGAGCTCGCATGAGCTGTTGAATGGCAGATCGTCCATGCCCAAGACAGCAATTAATCGACCGCGCTTATCACATTTCTCGAGCTTCATTCCAAATGTCATTATTTCTAGCTCCAAAGCTACCAGAGCTTTCAGCTTGAGCTTGAGCTCAAAGCATGCTGAATTTAACTCGGCACTTATTCCAACGAACGCCGAGATAGCACTGGACCTTCCTTCAGTCGCAATAATCCCAATCGTAAGAAGCGGGGCTCGCGTCTCCCCGGATGTTTCTCTGTAGTTTATCAAAGATAGAGCACGGGTTGCCGAGTTGTTCTGTGGGGTATGGTGGTTTCATGCTGTTCCGGTGGTGGGCACTGAGGCTGCCCGCGAAGCTTCCGGACAGGGGTCGGCTCATGCCTACGGCGTGTTTCCTCCTCCAATATTGGGAAACAAACAATAGAAGGAGATGCTTGCGGGATAAACACCGAATTCCGGAGCACACCATAATCGGGATATTCAGCGTGTTTTCTGTAGCCGCTTTATTGAGCCGAGGAATGCACCCCTCACCTCGTCCCGCCCACCTTGGTGATATCCAGCATCATAGGTGGTGGAATTAGACCTCTCTAGGTGAACTCACTTTCATCAAACTGCACCAACCAAAAGTGGACTGTGCCGAGAGGTATCTTGTACGGCGACGCTAATGCAAATACCATATGCTCGCGCTGTGCTGCGCCCGTGGCGGATCTACCCGGCGGGTCCGGAGATTTCCTCTGGGCGAGATGTAGGCGAATGCTTGCTTCATGACCTAAGTTGGGATGCGATTGGCATATGCGTGAACAACCCTTCTTCTAGCCTTTTATCTCCACTGAGACTGACAATGAAAAGGAGACATTTTCAGGCCATACTCGGTTGCAATACTCCAAGATCACAGTTCAGTTTAGTTCGGAAGGTAACTCACTCACTAGTGTGCTGTAAAGAGAGTCGAACCAGACCTTGATGAGGCAAGGTGAGATCTCATCATACTAGATCTCACTACCAAATCGGCGTTTAAATCAGCACGGCGTAATGCATCCACAAGCACCGTTGTATGCTGTGCACAAGAAGGTCCTTGTATGGAAGTGTCAATCAAAAGGCGTCGTTGCGGGACTGATGTTCTATTTCCGCGGAGGATCGATGACTCAAGCGAATCACGTTGCCCAGAGGGCGGATATGTGGAGTAAACTTGGTGACAAGAGTCATCAAATCCGACTGCTAAGTAATGCTTACTAGAAAGAATTTCTTTACACCAATTCTCTAATTCGTAACAATCCTACCTTGGAAGCATCGTCTGCAACCTACAAACTTCTTAGCATTATCGTCAAGATTCCGTATTTTGCGAGTTTCATTCACTCAAATTCCATATCCACAATGTCCGGGTCGTCCATCTCATCACCGGTTGACAGCGTTCTGGATGTCATAGGCAGAACACCATGCGTCCGTCTCCGCAAAGTTGTTCCTGAAGGCTGCGCCGATGTCTACGTCAAGCTGGAATACCTGAACCCAACCGGCTCTTACAAAGACCGTATGGCGAGAGCCATAGTCGAGGAGGCCGAGCGGAGAGGCGATCTGAAGTCTGGCATGACTGTTGTCGAAGCCACCGGAGGCAGTACCGGCTCATCACTGGCCTTCGTTTGCACTCTCAAGGGATACGGCTTTCGTGCAGTCTGCTCAAATGCTTTCGCTGCCGAAAAGCTGAGGACGATGGCTGCTTTTGGCGCTGACGTCGACATTGTCCACAGCCCAACAGGCAAGATCACTCCGGACCTCTTCCCAAAGATGGTAGAGCGCGCAAAGACACTCGCTGAAGAAGACAATAATTATTACGCCGCCAACCAGTTCAGGAATGCAGATGGCATTGTGGGATACAAGAGTTTGGGGCAAGAGCTTTTGGCCCAGTTTCCGCAAGGCATTGACGCTTTCTGTAGTGCCACTGGCGGGGCTGGCATGATCATAGGAACGGCAACGGTACTGAAGGCGTCGGATCCTAAAACGCGCATCGTTGTTCTTGAGCCAGAGTCGTCTCCGGTGATCACCAAGGGTCATGGAGGCACTCATGGTATAGAAGGCATCAGCCCAGGATTCTTTCCTCCGTTGCTGGATAAGTCGCTTTATGACGAGGCCCGCGGTATCTCTGAAGAAGATGCACGAAAGATGTGCCGTAGACTTGCCAAAGAGGAGGGCCTACTCACTGGAACCTCAACTGGACTGAACGTTGTTGCTGCTATTCAGCTGGCGAAGGAGCTTGGCCCTGGGAAGACCGTTGTCACAGTTGCTTGCGATACCGGTCTGAAGTATATGAGCGGAGCGCTTTATCAGTGAACACAGGCACGATGTATTTTTCAAAAGAAATGTTTTGGAAGGATCTTCTAGGTTTGCTGAATCTGAACTGAGCACTACAAGGTAGAAAATCTGCCAGACAATCCCGCTTAAGCAAGCTAGAAAGAACCGAGAGAAGGACGCCTCGGTTCACAGCGCAAAACGCGTTGATTTGCTGAAATCGGTGGAGACAGGGATACAAATGAAAGTACGCGGGCAGCAGAACAGAGTGCGCATTTGGCAGGCTGTTGCGTAAACCAATTGACACAAAACGGCAAGGAGTAGACACTAGTTTGTCTGAGACCGGGAATAAATCCTGGACATGATCATATTCAGGGCGGAAATATTGCGCTCTCCTGTCTGCCGACGAATCTGGCCGAAGTGCAAGTGGGTTTTAGTCCAAGCGGAAGAGTGTGAGTCAACAGCTGAGTTCAAAGAAGCTGAACGGCTATTAAAATATTCGACAAATCGTCAACTTCGTAACCTTGACTTCTGTATATCATCAACAACCATTCCGCCACCCTCTACCAATATCGGCACATAGCTCTGAGTATGGCCTCATTTGACGCAATCTTTTCATTCAAGTGCGATACCAATAAATACTGTCGTTATCAAGATGGGTGCTATACCAATCGGAGCCAACAATGGGAGAGTAGAAGAGCAGGCTGAGACTCAAGACGAGACCAAACACACCAAAGCGTAAGCACTTTTCAATTTACTCCTCGACGACTGCTGTTCCCTTCGCCGCGATTACCCTGCGGTACCCGAACCTTCAGGACTAACACGGAATACAGTCGCTACGCTTTGATTCTCATCGCTGCTTTCATGATCAACTTCATAGTTGGCGGATTGCTCTTTGGGTATGGCGTGTATCAGGCTCTTTATGAGACTATGATACAAGAAGAGGGGTCGCCCTTCGTCGGTGCCACATACGCCGAGATAGACCTCATTGGCAGCGTATCGGTGTCCGTCATGATGATGGGAGCACCCTTTGTCGTAGCGTGGGTGAAGAACTCCGGTCCCAAGCTTGCCATCTGTACTGGCGGTATTCTCTTTGGGTTGGCCCATGTGCTGGCAAGTTTCGGAACCGCTCTTTGGCACTTCGAACTGTCCCAGGGTCTGCTCTTGGGTATTGGGTGTTCTCTCTCATTCTTGCCCTCAATGACTGTTGCGCCAACATGGTTTGACAAACACAGAGGTCTTGCTGTTGGCTTTGTGTCTGCTGGCACTGGTGTTGGCGGTCTTGTGTGGGCACCTGCGATAACAGCAGCCGTCAAGACGATCGGGTTCCGTAACACTCTACGCATGACTGGTGCCCTGTCGGCATTCCTGATTGTTATGTCTGGGCTTTCTCTTAGCTGGGAGCCGTCCATGGCTGCCCACCTGCGCGAGGAGAAGGCGAAGGACGCCCGTCGGAAAGGGTTTTGGCGGATTCCATTGCCGACATGGGAGACTGCCAAGCAGCGAAAGTTTGTGGCTCAGGTTCTTGGAACCTTCTTCCAGAGCGCAGCCTACTACACACCGGTCTTCTTCACAGTTTCCTACGCCAAGACCCTGGGCTTTAGTGACTCTGATGGTGCGAACTTGACTGCCGTGGCCAATGCATGCAATGCCATAGGCAAGATTGGCGTTGGTTTCGTCGCGGACAGAATCGGACGGCTCAACTCTTTCTTCCTGACGACACTCCTCAGCGCTATCATGACCTTGGGTCTGTGGGTCTCGAGCACTCTATCTGGTGAACATGATGAGCACACCGCAAGAGGACTCTTCATCGCGTTCACGGTACTGTATGGCTTGTTTGCGAGCGCATATGTCAGCCTCTTCACGCCATCGCTGGTAGAGTTGTTTGGTATGAGAGAACTGCCACGGGTCGCCGGGGTCATGTTCATGGCTCAAGGCATTGCATCTATGATCGGAACACCTGTGGCCGGCGTATTGATTCGGGGCAATGAGGCCACAAAGACTTCTGAAGACTATCTCGGAATGGCGGTTCTCGTCGGAGGGTTAATGTTTGCTGCCGCTGCTTCTGTGGCTTGGGTGAGACTGGAGGTGACATGGGATCGGGCAGGTGGCCAAAAACGGTGGAAATGGAAATTGTAACCTACCAGACCGCAAGATTTGGCAGCCGTCAATTCAGGAGGAGTCTCGCGTCGTGCTGATGCACCCTGGTGGACGTCGGCTTTGCCAAATTGCAATAAGAACCAACATCCCCCTCTTTTACAAGGGGATATCGCAGAATTACGAGAAGCCATGCAAAGAACTGCTGATACCAGAACTATTGAAACCTGTCCTTGAAAACTTCAGCATGCTCCTCTTGATGTAGTTTTGATTCGCGCACGGTTTCTCAAGCACTTTATGGTCTCATCAACGAGCAAGGACTCTTCTCGTTTTTCATTGCCCCTTCGCGTACCCCTGAAAACGCCCCTTGATGGACCCAACCGCCAGGTCCAAGATTGTGGCTACCGGACGCGTCTGTCGCGTCTTCAACATCGCCCATCAGCACTACGCCGTGCTGTAAGGACCATCGCTAGCTTGATTGGGCCGGAAGCAAGGTCACATTTTGGTGCTCTCTTCTCCAGAAGCATTGCAGCAATGGCAAGCGATATTCTCGACTTTGCTGCTCCGAACGAGCTGAACAGTGCCCAGACGAAGGTCCTATTCCACATCGTCGACAAAACTTTGCCCTTTGGTCTCAGCAAAATCGCCAATCTACCCGAGATAATTGTCGTCGGAGATCGATCTTCGGGAAAGTCCAGTGTACTTGAAGCCGTCGCAAATGTCCGCCTCCCGGGAACCGTGGCTAAAGGATGTTTCACGACTGAGGCGATCCTTCGTCGCGGCGTCCGCCAAAGTGTGACGGCGACGATTCAGTTCGCAGACAACACCAAGGCGCCTCACTCACTGAAGCTTACAGATTTCAGCCCGAAAGATACGGACGAGTTCAAAGGAGAGAAAGGAGAGATTGGGAAAATTCTCTCTGGATGTCTTACGCCTGGAGATTGAAGGCCCGAACTAATACCCTTTGACATGGGTCGATCTCCCAGGCCTCTCCCATACGGCAGCATCAGCACACCCACCCGAGAATAAGGGGAGTATGATGGATTTGGTGGAGAGCTACATGAAGAAGCCCAACAGCATCGTCCTGGCGGTTGTCTCTGCCGAAAACGAACTGGAAAGTCAGTCCATCATGCAAGAGGCAGCTAAGTATGATCCTTCCAGGCAGCGTACCCTTGGACAAGCCGGACTTGATCCATCCAGGATCCCCAGAGGAGAACGAGTATCTGAAAATTGCTCGAAGCCACGAGGCTGCTAGCAACTTGGGCCTTGGCTGGCACGTTCTATGCAACCGCAAGGATGACGAAGACCTCGATCCGCGGGAGTTTGTCGAGGAGGAATTCTTCGAATCAGGTCTCTGGTCGTCAATTCCCGCCCCTGATGGGCGGCGAAATTCGGACTCTGCAACCTCCTCGTGGTGCCGCCTGGGAACATATCTTTTCTAAAGGTAGAGCCAGTGCAGAGACGTTACGGCGCGCAAGTGCAAGTGGTGGCGGGCGCTGCGCACGAAGCTTTTCTGGTGCGGCGGAAGGGCGGGATCGGACCAGAAGTGAGGGATTTTGGCGTCGCACAAAAATTTTCACACGCGCCACCAACCACCAAAACACCAGCAAAATCGACAGATATCGAG